TAATGCTTTTCGCGTGCGCATGCGTGAGCCGCGCAGGTCAAGAAAAAGATTTGACCTACATTGCCACTTCCTTCGATACGCGTCAACAAATCCCAATGCCGGCTACTTGTTGTTGTTTTGGGTAAGGCTGGGAATCGATATGAAATTTCAATATCTATTATCGGCAAGAATTTGTCAGCGATTATCGATAATAATCGATTATCATTCTTCCGAAAAACCCGAACTTTACCGACCTGTTATTTGTGTTGATCGAGTTACAGTAGTGTTATTATCCTAGTCTAATACTGCGCCAATGTACGTAAAAAAATCAATTAATGTAAAATAATTAGTTGCTAAATGTAGGATTAACTTGAGTATTATTCTAAGTTTTGTTCTTGATTCATTTGAACCTTTTTTTTATTCCAATATCTCCGATAAATACAAAGACAATACATGGTTTCTCTTTGCAAGTTACTGGCGATCACACAGTGTTACTAATAATAGAATAAAATATAATAGAAGAACCGGCTTTCAAAGTAGAAATTTTATGATTGGTTAATTTTGACGAAAACCAAAGTAGATTCTTCCAAGAAATTACGAGAGATATAGATATTTTCCCGGGAAGTCCAAAACGTGTTTTGTATGGGCTGTATCTGACATGATTTAGTAATAAAAGCTGAGTTGATCATTAATAATACAATTAGTTTTATCGTGAAAGCAGACAATTTCTCTACAAATCAATCAAGAGCAAAGAAGGGAGATAATTCTAATTTTACTATATCACGTGCGATCGTCATTGTTCACAAAGTGCGTGACCTATTTTAGTTTCAACTAGTAATAACAACAACAAAAACAACGAAAATATTAAAATAATGTATTTAATCTTAAAGTTTAGTTTTTTTACAATAATATGTATTTAAAATGTGCCAGTTTGTAAGCAGAGGGGGAAAATAGTTGTTGTGTTGACGTTGTGTATTCGTTCATTCGTCTGCATGCCAGACTACGGCAAGTTCAGTCATGTGAAAGTGACCGTAACTTGCCGTCAGAAGGTAAATATACCGATAATCGATATTTGGATTTCAATATCGATTATCGTATCGCTAAATAACTTCTACCGATTATCGATTATATCAATATTTTTGCACAGCCTTAGTTTTGGGTGTAAAAATAGACACTCTTTCGTAGTAACGACAGATCTACACACCAGAGCAGAATGATTGACAGCTGTCAGCCTTCACCTTGGAAATATCAAGGGAAATAATTTGAACAACTGGAGGCAGACCACATTATCTAGTACATAAACGTTAAAACCCGTTTACCTGCTATTCAAGGCCATGAGTTTAAAGTAGAACAATAAACTAATATAGCCTTATTTATATCGCTAACTTTGACAATCTGTGTTTCATCCATAACGGCATTACCCCCCACACACACACACACACACACACACACACACACACACACACACCCACCCACACACCCGCCGCCCAGGAATTTGTGCAATAGGTAATAAAGAAATTAATAGGGATGACCCTTGGGGAATAAGGAATGTCTATGTAAAGTTTTGAGACAATACATTAAGATTTGCAGCCTATAAGCGACACACAGGCATACGTATAAGGAATAAGTATGCAAAGCTTCAAGCCGATCCTGTATACCCACACCACACACAGAGGCGGGAGCGACGGCATAATGTGGACCATACTCCTCGCAGTGTTTGATTAGAGTTAATCCCACTAAACACTGCCTTAGTGGAAGCAAATTTCTGTTGCAAATTATGACTGGTCAATAGCTAACTGTGTAACAAAATTGTTAAATTTTAAACAAAGCTCCAAAGTGGACCAAATATAGCGTTACGTCATGACTCACGATTTTATTATGGCCAATTAACCAGTGCATAGCAGAATATGGAAGAAAAACTAATTGCGTAACAAATGAGGCTATCAACACGAATACAATGTAAACAACTGTGTGGAGACGAATAATGCTTTCGCCGTTTTTAATAACTTAAATGACTGTCCAAAGCTTTAGGGAAGACCCCAAATTAAACGAAGGGCTGTCAATTTGCTGTACTTGGGTACTTACGAGTCGCACTCGGGGGTTGGGTGGCCGAATAGTTTAGCAGGTGCGCTGTATCATAATGTCTGTCATTGAGTCAACTGGCGTGGATTCGATTCCCTGGTTGTACGTGACAAGGAGTAGGGTCGCCTGTCCAACTGCGTGGGTTTTCTCCGGGTCCTCCCACTGCTAACGACCCTACGCGCAAGCGAATTATTGAAATAAAACTGAAACATGTGTTAGTTCCGAAAAGACCTAGTTTGTGTCGAGTGGACGTTAAACCCCCTCTCTCTCTCCCTCTTTCTCTCTCTCTCTCTCTCTCTCTCTCACACACACACACACACACGAGTCGGACTCGCTATCAATCTTCGGATTCAGTTGCGCACCACTCTACCTGCCTGGAAACGGTTGACCAATGAGAGGCAATGGCTTTGTGTGTTGGGGTCGTAGCGAAGCTTTAGTATTTAGGATATATGCACTTCGAGCACACGTACAGCCATTAACTACTTCTACAGCCTTTATACTATGGAAGTTATAGGGGGTTATTTGATGTGGCGGCCGTCTTGGACGCAATCTTGAATTTCTCAAAACGCTCAAGGGTGACCGATGTTCACCCGGAAGATTCTGAAAGAGGACACCCTAGGCTACTAAAATCGATCATAAAAAAACCTTTGTACACAATTTCCAGGTTCAACCATAGTTCTACCGGACTAGAACCAGGGTTATTGTGTTCCACGCATAAACCAATCAAATTGCTCATCTCTGTTTAACCTAAGCATAAAATGCTCATCTTCGAACTTCCGGATGCGAATAACTGTCATAATATCTGTCAATAACGATTCATGAAAAGAGCATGACCGCTTGAAAATTTGTCCCGCGCTCTTTGGAAAATCCTTAATCCGCAAACAAATCTCAGAGGATGATGCAGTGTATACGGACAACGTTGTTACTCACTTTAAAGGTAAGACTATTTACTAATAACACAGATAATAGAATTGTCAGTATAATAGTAAACAACAATATTATTAATATTATTATTAGTCTATTAATGTTATAAACACCAAGTACAAACAATCCGAACCGTTGAACAAAATACATAAAATCGATTTATGCATTAGTCTAACGGATCGGATCGTTTGTAAATTTGTACTGGTAATTATCATGAATCGACACGACGATCTGAGAATAGCACGTGATTTGACAATCGTAATTACGTTACAGTAGCGGGAATAACCGAGTAGCTACGATTGGTGACTTGATAGAGGCTGGAAACGTCATACTCACTGATCTATTAATAGATAGATCAGTGGTCATACTAGACTAGACTAGTCTTGATCATTCAGACTCTTTACTGTTTATGTTCTGTAAAGTAAAGAATCTGGGTGATCGAGACTAGGGTGCAGGCTGTTTCGTAACCTGGCTGTTTCGTACTTAGTTCTTTCGTACCTCAGATTGATTCGTAACCTTTTCCTACGTGTTGTTGAAATAAAGTTGAAACATGATTCGTACCTTTTTCTACGTGTTGTTGAAATAAAGTTTGAACATGATTCGTATCTCAGATTTATTCATATCTTTTCCTACGTGTTGTTGAAATAATGTTGAAACACGACGACTTAATAATATCCAACCACTACTACAAAAATTTTATAAAAATGGCTGCAACGCGAACTTTATAAAACAAAGATGGCTGCTTGTTGCGCGAATTTTATAAAAATTGCTGCTGAACCAGAATTAGAACCCCAAATAGCTTTGTACTTTTTTAAAGTGATTATTGACTATGAGTTGTGATTTTTGTCAATATTGACCGGCGATTGTTAACTTCAAAGGGTCAGGCGGCGCAAGCAGTTATTGCCAATCCTCCATTTTACCTGCTCTATTGCTGCATAAAGAAGCATCGATATTGCCGTTACAGATAAAGCTTGTGTCAGAGGGGAAGTTAAAAAGATATCAACGTATTGACACTCTAGACCAGGATCGTATTTTTAGCCTGCGGGGGGAATACGCACAGAACCAGATATCAGCCAGCTCCCTGTTAAGAAGATGCGCGTTTGTTTACGGCCCAACTGCCGCTAGTGTTGCACAATGGCGGTCCCAAGCCCGGGTGCAAAAGGAGGAGGGTTAAGCTTAAGTACATTGTAAAAGTTTAAATTAACGAAGGTACGAAACAGCTCATGTGAGGAAGCTTAAATTTAAGTACGTGTAAAACTTGAAATTTCCGAAGGTACGAAACAGCTCGCGTGAGGTACGAATGAACTAAGTACGAAACAGCCAGGTTACGAAACAGCTGACATCCCGAGACTACATACTAGACTAGTTCATTTAGCTCTTAATTGTTCTGGTTCAAACTTTAACATTGCGCTGGGTGATGGAGTCTTGTAACCTCGTGGGGGAGAACGCTAGATCGAAGCCGGTCCTTAGCATTTTATGACGTCATATGTGGATTATGGGTTAGGGTAAGGGTTAGGCTTGGCCCAGGGTTAGGGTGAGGGCTAGCCCTGTCTACATCTCGAGACTCTGACGAAATCTGCAGGTCCTAGCCCTTACCATAACCCTTATCTTAACCCACAATCCTCACATGACGTCATAAAATGCTAAGGACCGGCTTCGATCTAGCGTTCTCCCCTCGTGGAACTCACTAAAGGATTCTGGGAAAAGACGACATTTTGCTGGCGCCATTAAAACGAATACCGGTACTGAAATAGTTGAATGGAACGTTTATTGAATGAAAAATTCATTGATTGAAGTAAGTTTTACCCAGTGTAAGTTCATGAACTATATGTGTCACACTGTACGCTAATGCTTAAAAAATGTACGAATGTCACGTTTGTAAACACAAATGTACGTCAATAAAGTCTTATTGTCGGCATTATGCATTTCACAGAAATGCTGCAAACGTCAAATTTCCATGTGCTCTAACTTCTTGTGGTAAATTTTGCAAGACATACAATGCATTGCACACTCATATGTCTAGATATCACACCAAACACCAAAAAAGTATCAGATTATCAAGGTTGCCAGCATTGTCTTCTCCAAATTCGTCACAATATAAATGCTCCGTGGCTGGCTGTCAAGAGGCTTCTGATAGCCCACCATCTTTGATTGCCCATTTAAAAACACATTTGGTTAAAGGAGATCAAATATGCTGTCCAATATCTCCGTGTAAAAGTTTGTTCAAAATAAAGTCCTCATTTTCTTCTCATTTGACACGAAAACATCACAATTGGACAAAAGACAGCTTCAATCGACAAAGTGTTGATGACAATATTACTTCTGATTCAGAGTATTCTGCAGTTGACAATTATCAGTTAGATGATGTTGACCAGGAGGGGTCTGTTGACAATATCGATATCGATGAATACGATACCATAGCAGATGAAAATGATGAAGATATTAGTGTAGAAGATTATGAAAGTAATTTCATGACCAGCTTTGCTTTATTTTACTTAAAATTACAAGCTAAGCAATTAATCCCTCAGTCCACAATTCAGTTCATAGTCGAAGAAATTGGCAATCTGTATTCTTTAGGTTGGAAATATATGAGAAAAATGTTAAAAAGGAAACTGGTCGATCAAGGACTCTCCAATGATGTGGCAGAACAGTTGCTGGAGGAAATTCAAGATTATAATCTGTTTTTGCACGCAACCAACCTTGAGGACTGTCCCTTTCGTTCAACTTACAGAAGAAATATTTATTACAAATCAAAATTTAGACATGTTCCTCCAGTAAAGTGCAAAATTGGTCAAAATATTGAAGGCACCGTGCATAGTTACTATGTGCCTTTGGAAAAAACCATTGCCTCTCTCTTTCAAGACAGTTCGGTTTTAGATCAGTACAATAATCCAATTATAAATTTTAATAGCAATGAGTTGCATGATATTCATGACGGCACACATTTCAAAAACAATGCCTTTTTTCAGGATAATTCTCGTATACAAATTCTGCTCTATCAAGATGCGTTTGAAATAGTGAATCCAATAGGTGCAGCAAAAACAAAACATAAGATGATTGGTATTTATTTCACCTTAGGTAACTTTCATCCATGGAATAGATCTAAAATTGATACAATTCAGCTTGTTGCACTGTGTCGTGACAAGGATTTATCTGAATTTGGTGCTGAAGTGGTTTTCAAAAATTTCATTACTGATTGTAAACGGTTTGAGAATGTAGGGTTCCTAAACATCAATGGAATAACTGGTCCTTTATTTGGTACAGTAATATCTTGTTTGGGGGATAATTTAGGTTCACATTACTTGGGTGGATTTGTGGAAAACTTTTCAGGTGAATATTGGTGTCGATTTTGTCTGCATGCAAAGAGTGATAAAGATAATTTACCTAAAGAACCAAGAACTGTACAAAATTACAAGGATTGCCTGAAACATCTGAAAGATCATCCTGATATAAAAACTTATAAAGGGATTAAAAAAGATTCTGTCTTGAATAAATTATCTCACTTTCATGTATGTTCTGGCTTTCCTCCTTGTATTGCACATGACCTATTTGAAGGAGTGGTTGCTTATGACTTGCAGCTTATAATTGATTATTTTGTCAAAGTTAAATGGTTGACATATGATTACATGAATAGTCTTATTAAAAAATTTCCATTTAAATTGAATGATGCAGTTGATAAGCCTTGTATATTGAAACCTAACAAGACCAAATTGCCCGGAAATGCAATGCAAATTTGGTGTCTGTTGAGACTTTTCCCTATGCTATTTGGAACAAATATCCGTGACAGAACAGACAGTGTGTGGAATCTATTACTATCACTCCAGGAAATGGTTCTTTATCTTTGCTCTCCATCTATCAGTTTGGGACAAATCAGTTATATGGAGGAATTGATTGTAATTTATATGAGTGAACGTAAACGTTTGTTTCCAGCAGTAACCTTAAAGCCAAAACATCATTATGTTCAACATTACCCGTTGCTGACCTTGCAATATGGTCCTCTGATTAGAGTTTGGACAATGCGAATGGAATCAAAACATTCTTATTTCAAGCGTTGTGTAAGAAGGTTTCAAAATTTCAAAAATATAGGATACACCCTATCTGAACAACAGCAATATTTGCAAGCATATTATTCTAGTGGTTGTCTATTTGACAGTGAACTTTTTATACATAATTCAATCCCGTTTAAGTTAGAGAACTTTAATAGTACTGTACAAGATAGTATTAAAAACAGCGAAATGAATATAGAAAGATCTCTAGTCTGTGACAGCATTGTTTACAGGGGTATTACCTACTCCAAGAATGACCATCTTATACTATTAGATACTTCTGACCGTTTCCAAATTGGGAAAATAGTTCTTCATTTAGTGAAAGACAATGAACCGTATTGCATTGTTGAAATGTTTGAGGCCATTCGCCTTCCTAAGTTTGGAGTTCATAAATTGGAACCAATAAACGTCAACTGCTTTAAACTGCTAAAATTTACTCATTAAATAATTTGATTATTATCCATTACCTACTTATTTGGCATTTGGGGTCACTTGCATAGTATTAAAACACACTGTACCAATAAGATCATAAACAGGTGTATGTGGTTTTCGCCTTCCTAAGTTTGGAGTTCATAAATTGGAACCAATAAACGTCAACTGCTTTAAACTGCTAAAATTTACTCATGAAATATTTGATTATTATCCATTACCTACTTATTTGGCATTTGGGGTCACTTGCATAGTATTAAAACACACTGTACCAATAAGATCATAAACAGGTGTATGTGGTTAATTTCTAGTGTTTCAGCATGGATATTTCACACTTCATTAAAGTGACCTGTAACGGTCGCAAGGTGGCAGTGCATTGTGATGGGAACACTTATGATGAATTTTTGAAGAATGGTAAGTTGAAAAAACTGTTTCCACCAAAATTACAAAACGTCAATTCAATTTGCCAGAAACACTTCATTATTTCAAATGCAAATGAATGTTTTGGCTAAATGAAATATGGCATGGGCAATAAGGGTGAATATGCTTACTACTGATTTTCAACTGTTGAGATCTCTTAACATGCTGTGCATAATGAAACGCTAGTCTCGGGTTGTTGTCTTGTGTGCGAGTTAATTTGTCGTGTCAAGTTAATATCTCAGATGGGCCTTTTTTTGCCAATGAGGGTGAATTTGCCAATGAACACAATCCCAATTTTTGTCCCCTCCGATGGACTAGAACAATTTTTCTTGTCAACACTCACCTGAAAAAATTCACAAGGTCAACTTATGATATGCTAACCCTGGCACCACCACTGTGAGCGGCAAGTCTATATCGGTTTGTTTGAATCCAGTACAGTCATCTATATTTCGTCCTAAAACTCCTAATGTGTACAATTGTTAGAATACCGTGTACAAGAGTATTCAGAAGACGAGGAGTAACATGACATCTGTCCTTATAAACCTGCTGAATTTGCAAACTCGATGTCCTCGTTCAAATTGCTGAATTATTTGTGGTTCTAGTCCTGCTTTACAGTTGACGCTCGGTTCAGTAATGATGAAATACATTCCATTTCATATTTGTATACACACTAACAACATATTTTCTATTTATATTTGTATTTTCAGTGAGTGAAAAGTTTAACATCCCTGAAAATAACATAGAGATCACTACCAGTGATAATACAGAGGTCGATAATGTGTACTTCAACGCAATTGTTAAATCTGTAGACCAACTTAATGCAAGGGATCGTACTGCATGTAAGTAGTTTTTAGTCCCCTACCGGTGAATCCGAGGGGACTATAGGTTTTGTGCCCGTCTGTCAGTCAGTGCATTGGTTAAAGTTTTGTGATGGCTTACCATTTGCTTAAGAATGATGTTAGGATTCTGATTCTTTGCATAGAAGTTCTTTATGGGTCTAACGTGAATGCTGTGGAGTAAAATTGCAAAAAAGATTATGATTTTCTTACGTGTTCATGGACACAATAACGCTTATCTCATTTGCTTCTGTCAAATTCATAAGATTGTTTTATTTCAGGTGAATCTAAAGCATCAACTGAATTTAGTCTACAATCACCTCTACAATCGCCAACGTCGTCAATAAGTTCCAGGAGCTGTACCTCTCCGTTGGAGACTGGGACTCAAGCCACCATACAAATTCCATGGAATAAGATTCCGTCGAGTCTTAATCAGGCATTTGAAGAGGAAGAGCTAATAACGCGAAAACAACGATGTTTGTTAATAAAAATATTGTGGGATGAGATAAAACAAACCAATCAAAGAATCTCGAGGAAAATCCTGAGAGAAGTGGCGGCAAAAGTTGTACGAAGACATCCAAGATGTTTCGAAAAACGGATGGACGGAACGATTTTGACTGACGGTATCGAAGAACTGATGTTGGCTTTAGAAGCGAAAAAAGACAACGAAAACCGACCAGAATCTTGTGAAAAATCCAAGAAACCACGCTTAGACATTGAAGTCATAAATTCAGAGTCATTTAATCAAAATGAACTTAAGGATTTGTTTTTAAAAGATAAACTGACTGATGTGGAAAAACAGAAAGTTCGTGAAACAATGATATCCACATATCAGGCACAAAGAATAGATTTCATCGACAAAGATACAACCATATGCATGGTTAAAGAAAGTTGGCCATTTATATTTCAAAGTGATTACTTTTTTAAACACTTCGAAATGTTAACCAGTGTTAATTTACTGAAGTTGTTCAATGGAATCGGAGAAATACAAAGTGTGCGAATCTATAATTATCTTGTTGCCCAGAAGACCTGTAATCTTTCAGAAATACAAAATCTGCAGGAACAGCCAAATATAACCTGGACATATCAGATGTTGACCCAGGTTTTTAAAGAGGATCTTAAGGAATTGATAGTATGTCAGGTATGTTATACTATACAGCTTTTTCAAATCGGTATGTATTGGCATACATTTATAAACTTCCAACTTCTACTTGGTGTATAAGTTTATATCCAGATGATCCAGTTGGTCACATTTCAAAAGTAACTTGCAGAGTTATTGTCCTTATCCCAAAATTATTATGGGTTTCTGTAAACATGCTAACACCTAGGGCATTTAACTGATTTTGTTCATAAATAGGTGTGTATAAGATCTAATGTACAACTGTTGATTATTTTTTTGTTTTATTAAAGCGACTATGTTGAAGACTTATATCCCTATATACACGCTAACATGATGATAAGGCCGTGTTGAATTGATTCCTTGTTTCTCCTCGCCCGCGCGCTTAGGTCGAGGACCCCGAAAATCGTGCGCTTACGTTTTTAACACAAAAAAAAATATTCAAAAAATTACGTTAATAACATCTAAATAAAATTCTACCAAACATCAGAAGTCAATTCTCGTTGTTTATTCCTCGTTACGAACTAAATAAGTAAGTGCAGGGGGCCGCACTACACGCAAAACAAAAATCTACAAGATAAACCTGCGGACAAGACAGAAAATAGGCATTGCACCGAATAAACAAATATCAAATCAAGTGAATGGATCCGGTTGATAATACACATGTAGGGGCCCGCATAGTATGGAATAAGTTACACTGTATATGATTGGATGAATTCCGCAAAATGGCGCGTGTAGCAGTCATTTCGGCTAATGAGAAAGCATATTATAAACTGTAAGACAATCGCTAATTTTCAACCGCGAACCTGAATAATCAATTTTTTCATTGGCTAAAATTATAACTCATGTCATTATTATTCAAGTATTACCCAATCATATCTTGTGTAATAAATTTAATAACGCACGCCTTACAAAATGGTGAGCTATGCCGGGACATAGGTAAATTCGCGTACCGGTCGGCCTAATTTATTGATGTTCAAGGAAATAATAGTGGCCCCGTTCGCTCGTTTCTGGAGTTTAACAAACGAACGAACAAACGGGACCACTATTATTTCCTTGAACATCAATAAATAAATTAGGCCGACCGAATTTACTTATCTCGACTCGACTTTGGTGGTTATTCCCAGCACTTTCACGTTCGATGATATTATCGAAACCATCTATAACTCAACAAGCGAATCAAATATCGTCTAACTGGAATGTTTCCATTGTATTTTAACACAAGAATACGGAAAATTTATATCAAAATATGGTTATTTCATTTTTTAAAAAGTTAAACAAAGAAGCCACTTTGTTACCAAATTTTAGTTTATTATATTTATTTAATTAAATATTATCTGTGTTTTTATTCTAACCAATAATATAACTAGATTATTTATAATATTATTAAAAATGGTACACAACCCTCAGACTATATAGGTATTATGCCAGACCACTTTGTGTTTTGAAACCCACTTTGTGTTGTGTTTACCGCACTACCGCACATGATTGCCAGAGTGGTGGCAGGAGAAACAAGGAATCAATTCAACACGGCCTAACATGAAGAAGTAATATATAATTAATAGATTCGTGCAATTATAATTTAGTATATTCAGTATTTTTCTGTCTAAAATTTAACTTCGTTTTATTTAGGATTCATTGAAGACAGATAAACTTCCGTGCACACCATGCATAGTTGGTATTGGTAAGTATTGATATTGTCATAAAATATGTTGCGTCTTATCTCAGCAGAATATTTCTCGAAGTAATTATCAAATTTGTCATGGGCTTCGCTGGCTCAGTATGGTCCTTGCTCGCTAACCAGGAGGTCATCCGGATTTTCCAAACCGGCTTGCCCTTGTCAGTGGCACAGACCCTAGGGGCTGGCAAGGAATAGCATATGTCATTCGGATGAAGCGAAAAACCAAGTTCCTGTCGACTGCATCAGGACGCACGTTAAAGAAATGAAATGGAGTTTTGACGTCCCATTTTTATGTACTGTTAAGGCTAATTAGAGATGCTCAGACAGTTTGAAAATGGCGAGGAGTTGTCACCGACTGAAATAAGTGCATAAAAGTAGAACGTTAAACCCCATATTTCATTTGCTGGTTCATTTGAAATTACATGAAATTTTGACTTTATGAGCCCATGAACTCAAAACATTTTTGATCAACTCTTCCACTACACTTTCACTCACCAGATTTCTGCCATGACGTGATGTCATATTTGTCATTGTTGGGTCTAGTATGTCCGAGTGAAGAGTCCTATCTAAGTTTTACATCTTCTTGTAGCACCAATATACAGACTGTAAATGCCTATGTATGCTTTTAAATTTGGATGGGGAGATTTTGATTAGCATTTAAAACATATGGTCAGCTCTACACATTCAAACTTCATGCTCACAGTATGTGATAGATTGAAATGAAATGAAATAGAGTTTAACGTCCCATTTTTGTGCACTGTAAGGCTAATTAGAGACGGGTATATGCCAAGTGTGTGCAATGAGGTTGAATTTTGCCAAGGCAGCGGCACATGGCCTACTCTTACAACCGATTTTAACTGCTGAGGTGTCTCCTACGTGATCTATCAAATGAACACGGGACTCAGTTTATCGTCGTCTCCGATGGACTATAACGCTTCTCCATGTCAGCCCTCACCTGGCAAGAGGGAACCCAGTCTGAAAAATTCACAAGGTTGACCCCGACCTCGTCGGGATGCAAACCCGTGACCTTCAGCAAGAGGGGGAAGCGTCCTAACCTTTCGACCACACCGAGCCCCATGTGATAGATTGAACAAATGCTAGGATTTTTCTACATTGTATTTTCTAGGGCCATCTATATTTCATACTTCTAAATATGTGCTAGTTGTGGATAAAGAACCCGTCACTACAGATATTACATCACTTTCAGTGGCAATGGCCATGCAATTTGCAGCCTTTTTTATTTTCAATATTTGCTTTCCGAAAAAAGTTATCAATACTATGGATGCTTTCCAAAGGTATGTAAAGTTATGGTACTTGAGTGAATCTCATGGTGGCTGATTTCGACCACTTAGCGTCTTCGCTTCCAATCAGACGACTTTGTATCTTGACTTTCCATTTTAGTATTATTGAAAAAAACGAAGAACCAAAGACACGAAGTGGAAATCAGCCACCATAGAATCATTTTAGCTTTCACATTTGAAAAAAAAAAATATAGTGACTTGCAGGATTTTTTAAAGTTGAAAAAGGAAATGGTGCTATTTGAAGTGTGTGACTGTGAACCCCATTCTTTGCATCGTTTGGTATCCATTTGTTACTTTATTTCTCAATATATTTCACTGGGAAATCTTCAGAAAACTCGATATCAAACTCTGGCATTTGACAGATTTTTGCATATTTGTCCAACGAACAGCTTTCAAAACATTCCTATCAAATAGGGTGATGTTTTACCAGTCATTTGATTTGAGACCATCCATCAGTATTTACAAACTGGTGTTCTGTTGATGTTCGTTGCGATTCCAATTGGATACATATCCTCTCCAAAACCTACTTCAACAGTCCACTAATAAATTTATACATTTGGTTAAATCACCCCTGTAATTGACAGTGTTTAAAGGGAATATTGTTTATGAAAATATGCCACAATTGGCTACAGAAATCTACAAAATATGAAAATCCCCATTATCTGCACTGAATATACTAGGTTACTTGATCTCTCCGGTATATGGAGGTCTACAATGTATATCTATTTTGAACCCTATTCATAATTGATGGATCGTAGATCACATGCACAATTCTCTTTAGTCCTACACCAAGAGCCTATTTGTCCAAGCATAAGTATGAATATGTCAAAGGGTTCTGAATAGATACAAAAACGTTTGGGTTCTTTGTCTGCCACAACTTTAATTTACATGTAGACTAGATTATTACAGTGCTCTATGAACTGTGCCAGTACATAATCATTGTGAAAGGTACTTATAATTTATAGTTGTCTATTACAGGTTCATATTGAAGTTTAAAAATGAGAACACTCCCAAAAAGTTGAAGAAAAAGACCTGTGTCAATGATCAAGTTCTTAAATTTGCGTCCGATGTAGCGAGGTATGAGGCCTTCCTTGAATGTGGAGAGGTATCCGATTAAAGAAATTTTTACAATTTTTGCAATTAACATTTTTAGTGCCGTTACACCCCTCCATATCATTATCGTGGCCTAAAGTGATAAACATTTTTGTGAAATCATTAGTTACAAGTATGTTTATGATGTCTTAGTGATGAGTAATGATGATGTCATTAGTGATAAGCATTTGTTCATGTTATAAGTATGTTTTTTATATCATTAATGATGAGTATATTGATGTCAATAGTGATGTGTATGTTTTTGATTGTCATTCTAAGTATGGTTGTGATGGCTATTAATGAGGAGTATGTTTCATGTTCACATTTGTTTTAATGTGAGATATTGTTTTTAATGTGTGTAAAGTTTTATTTCATTATACTTTATCAAGGTATGATAACTTTTAAAATGATTTTCTATAACAATTATATACACATGGAAAAAAGTTAAATCGACACCTATATTTTTCAAAATGTCTTGTCTTACGAGGTTAGCCTGATAACGTAACCTCAGAAAAACAAATGTGGTTTACAAGAACACTTCTTTGACCATAAGAAAACCGGAAAAGTTTATCCAGCTTTGATATTTAATCATGATTCTGAGAAAAAATCCAAGATGCTGTATTTGTCAAAAAAAAAGAGTCAAAATAAGTATGAAGGTACAGAGTCAGAAACACAATCCAACATCATGATTGTTGATGAAAAATGTCATTTTGAGTCCAAAGATGACATTCATGACACAAATCATCAATATAGCCGGTAAACCCGGCACGTGTCTGGATGACAGCTTTTATCCTTCGTCTCATTCCTTCTGTTCAGGTGGGTTCAGTGCATTTACTCGACACCCAAAAATGTCCCAATAATGCTCAAGTGGGTTTAGGTCTCGACTCATAGCTGGCCAGAATTACTGGAGGAATGAGAGGAAGGGTAAAAGCTATCATCATGGCACGTGCCGGGTTTATTCGCTATTGATGATTTGTGTCATGAATGTCATCTTTGGACACAAAATTACATTTTTCATCAACAATCATGATGTTGAATTGTGTTTCTGACTCTGCACCTCCATACTTATTTTGACTCATTTTTTTGGCCAAATACAGCATCTTGGAATTCTCCTCAGAATCATCATTAAAATCTCGAAGCTGGATAAACTTTTCCGGTTTTCTTATTGTCAATGATGTATTCTTGCAAACCACATTTGTTTATCCGATGTTACGTTATCAGGCGTTCAACACCAAACCTCGTAAGATAAGTCATTTTTAAAAAGTTTTATTTCATTATACTTTATCAAGGTATGATAATTTTTAAAGTTGTTTTTCTATTGAAATTGTTTTTCCATCAAATATCTGTATCTGAACATTAATTATATGTATATTTAAAACTTAAGTTCACATCATTTTCTGTAGTTCACATCATTTTCTGTAGTTAAATGCACAAATAAGATCCAATAAACAGATAAACTAAATCAGTTTTGTTATTTCACAGAAAAATGAGAATAATTTCTGACAGTTATAAAAATTATGTTTTTCGACATAACTGGAAGAAAAAATTCCGGCAGCTGATTTACCAGAATTTCCATTTGTCGTAAAATATTTCTGTTATTCAAAGCAAATATTTTACGAGAAATTCTGTTATATAACTGAAGGCAACATTTTAATTCTGGTAAATCAGCTGCTGGAAATTTTCTGTTAATTAATGGAAATTTTTTTTAAAATTCCGGCAGCTGATTTACCAGAATTTCCATTCTATTTTCTGTTAATAGAAGGAAATATTGTTAGTCATTCTGTAATTTAACAGATTTTGTCGTAAAATATTTCTGTTATTCAAAGCAAATATTTTACGAGAAATTCTGTTATATAACTGAAGGCAACATTTTAATTCTGGTAAATCAGCTGCCGGAAATTTTCTGTTAATTAATGGAAATTTTTTTTACAGTGTATGAAGAAGTAATATATATAACAAGACAAGAAGTAATATATATATATAACAAGACAACAAGTAATAGATTTAACAAGTCGTCAAGTAATAGATATAAAAAGTCGACAAGTAATATATATATAACAAGTCGACAAGTAATAGGTATAACAAGTCAACAACAACACTCCCCGCACCCGAGCGTTTAGAATAGAGGACATATTGTTGTCTTATACTATGTATAACTATTCAAATATGTCTTATGTTTTACACATAATTAGTAAATAATACACAAATTTCATAAATATAACAAATGGGTGTTGTTCCAAAATGGACGAAGAAATTGTTGCCATGGTCAAATGTTGGCGAAATCTGAAATTGAAGTCAATTGGCATGTTATATAAATGTTCTGCTTCTTACCCATAATTCATTGTCTTTCAACAAATATCACAGCTATTAGTTAGGCCTATATGTATATAGTTGATTGTCTTTTAACAAATATTAAATCTATTACTATATGTATATAGGTTAGATAGAATGGAATGGGGTGGGTAAATTAATGCAGTTGGACCGTCATTTTAGATTTAGGGTTTAGTTGATTATCATTGTTTTGTGGATTAAGGAATTCAATTCCAGAACTTTCAGTAGATGATATCGTTAAAGTATGTCAGGGACAGACGGTATTAAAACAATATTTCATCATGCTGACCTTGTTTAACATTACTGCACGCACATAAACACCTACCCTGTATTATACTGTACAATTCATTATACACTTACCTTATATAACATATTATACTATATAACTCTATATACAACACTTACCTTATATAACATATTATACTATATAACTGTATATAACATATTATACTATACAACACTTACCTTATATAACATATTATACTATATAACTGTATATAACAAACATCAATAAACATCCATAGGAAATCTACAAGAATACAAATAATGTAAGTAAGTTATAACTTAATGACTTGTTTCAAACATTTGGTAAGCATAGTCCTCACACTTTGAATGCTAGTCTTGAACATCCAGAAAATATAAGATGTGGTGGGGCTTACTATTTGGACACAACAACAATTTCAATAGTGTAGCCTACCGTGGCCATTTGAATATATACTTTAAGGGATGTGAAATGAAATGAATATAAGCGTAGGCTGAAACGCCAATGTCTCGGCAAAAGTTCCCTCACAGCACACTGTATGCCGTTTACCTGTCTTTAAAATACAGATATGACGTCACCCTTTGATGTTGGCGTACCATTATTTCAAATAATCGCATTATTTATACTAGTGAATATTGGACTAGTGTGATGTATTTCACTGTAAAAGCACGTGCAGAGTGTCTGTATTTTAAGTCGTTTATAAGGCCCTCTTGTTGTTACAATATTTTACTTAATGTCTCGCTCTCGACCATTAAACAATACTTATTAGTCTAGTCCTTGCAGAAACGTAGAGCATTATTTCATTGCATTTCTTTTATGCAAGGGAAGTAACTCCACTTAATGAAAGGTTTATTATTTACCTGAGGCCTGTTGCCTTAAATTCTGTTGTTGAATTGACACTTCACTACCATCATTGGCGGAAACTGAAACAATTAACAAGATTTTAATATAAATCAGAAGACAAAGTTATAATTTTGTTTTTATTCTGAACTGGGATAACTTTTTTTGGAATTAGACATACATTATGCTAATGCTAAATCTGTCTATTGCAGGTCTTTCTTTAGGCCTGAAATGTTATCTAAATTATTAATTAGACAATAATTAACTTATCCAGACCATAATCAACTCTAGATGGCATCGCTAGCCTGCGATCTTAAGTGGATTGTGAGCCGATTTACTGCATAACTTTCCTTCTCGATTAAACGATTAAATGGATAATCGAGACCGTGCTGTTTATCGTACTGACTTTAGCAATGATGTCCGAGGCTAGGCAGAAATTTCATTCGCTTAGTTCTCGGTTCATAGTGGGTCAATTTGAATGAAATTTTCAGCAAATTGCCTTTACGTTATCTAGTTTTTAATTATTATAGTGAGAACTGCCAACTCGTTACCGAATCTCCCATAATGTATCTTTAATATTTTTACCGGTACTAATACAAAACATATTTGCATGATTCACAAATCTCAGATTATCCATGATATACTACATGTATAGCCAAATTACAAATTTGGCGGCTTAAAAGTTACATTACCTTCCGCATGTCCCGCAATGCTGACATCTTCGCTCTCACTTTCTTGAATCGGCAATTCTATCATAAAAAAATAAATAAGTAAACATATAGTTGAATTGGGTATATGAAAGAATATTATTTGAAAAGAATGAAATATTTGTAAGATATGACAAGTTGTATCTAAATAAAAAGATACAGATGGAAAAAATTACCACCCCCACCATGAATTTGTACAATGCCTAATAACGAAATTAGTAACACGTGGTAAGATGAATTTTAACATTACAGTAACTCACAAATGATCAGTCATGTGTATGGAAGATCAGTAATTGTTTATATCATCATTAATATAAAACTCAAAAGTATTTGAAACATAATTTGGTTTATTTTGGTCGTTTTGTCAGGGGGTGCTTAGAAAGGGGAATTATGTAACATTTAGATAAAGCTGGCCATTCTTGTTATAAAAGTTCCAAATTAGCTCATAAAAATGAATCTATTGAAAATATCATTCAAATTACTTTATTATGGGTGAAGTAAGGACTATTTGAAGACGTAGGGTAGATCGTTTATTTTATTATCGTAGCAACATTATTTGACATCCAAGACTAAGTCTCGGTAATCCATTGTATCGTTAAGTTTTACAATTTCGACCACCCAAAGACTAAAGAGTTGATTATAGGCTTGTAATGTGAACAAATGACTAATTTTCTGATTTTAAAGCAGAAAAAAGACCTGCAATAGGCAGATTTAGATCTTACATGATGCATCTTTAACTTTTTTCTAGGTATATATAATCACAGTTAATAGGACAGCACGGTAAACAAGAGCAACGCCATATCATATTTCCATTTTGATTGAAATGGCAGAGAATGAAATAATATGTAATGGCTGCAATGACTGTAATATGGCAAGTCAAAATTAAAATTCAACCATGGATAGCGCTTCTATCACCTGCTGTGAGATATGTTATTATCAGCGGAAAGTCTAATATACGAGTTAATATCATTTACAATATCATTGATATACAAAAGAAATAAAAGAGGCCCGAGGAGCCATGTCATGTAGGACACCAACAGACATAATTTAAGGCTCAGGGAAGGCACATTTTACAACTACTAATTTTTCATTGCTTAAATAATCGATAAACCAATCAAACAGTCCCCCCCCCACTTGATAGCATATATATACCTTTACCTATATAAATTATCGACAAAAACATACCCTGCATTACAAGGAAATCATTAAAATTTAGCTGTTCAATATGATGTTACATATTTTTAACAATATCTATTTAAGGGAAAAAAAAAATTCGGAAACTCCTCTAATTAAAAAGTGACACAATGTTAATAATATACAAAAATAAGAAATTTCATTGAAACCCTCTTATACATTCGAGAGGAGTGGGGGGGGGGGGGGGTTAACGTGTGTGTGTTAGATCAAAAGCGCGATAGGGAGAGTGTGGGAGGGTTACCCTCCTACTGAGGGCGGGGGGCACCCCCATAATTTTTTTTAAAAGTTTCAGTCTTCTGTAAACACTGTTTTGGCATATTTTACGGGCTTTAACTAAAACATATTTGGATATGTACAGGTTTTATACAGATAGAATCTTAACTAATCCTAATAATTGTTGTAAATAAATAGGAGTTAGAGCCTACTATGTATACTATGTATATTCAGACCCCCCCCCCACCCATGTGTGACGCCCATGGAACAAGGCATCTTCATTGACCCATGCGTTTATTTAGTGTGTTTACGATACATATACATGTAGTTGATCACAATGATTTCCCAGGTTTGTGTACTCATGACACACATGTAGATTCTGGTATCTAGCCATCAACATTTGACAACTATTTTCCTTGTAATGCAGGGTGTATGGTTGTCGATAATTTATATAGGTAACATGACTTGATGTATTTATTGTCATTAACTTGACCAAGTGACCTGTATGTGGTACGAAACGTAGGTGTTAAATATCAGAGAAGTAGTTTAAAACCCATATACATGTTTACTCAACTCGGCTGTTTATAAATATCCATTCACACATAAAATGAAATGAGTCAGTGCGTGTGAATGTTGTGAAATATCAATAAATTTACAAACTTGAAGACAACAATGTCACTGATAGTTATCACAAGATTTACCTATTAATTAAAATTTACACCATACATAGATGAGGTGTAGATCGTTTATGACGGTAGCAACATTACATGTATTTACATGTCTTGGACAGTGGCGGCGCCAGCCGTCGGTGATGAGGGGCAAAGCTAGGGCAAAATCCAAGGTTAAGGGGGCAAAGGCACAAGCTTCAACCAGGGGTAGGGGGCCTCCCCAAGAAAATTTTGAAAAACAGGTTGGCGGAAATGCAGCCTGGCAGTATTGCAGGCACTGATCGATGAAGCAACGTGTCAAACGAACGAACTTGCGAATCACGACGAAGCCCACTCACGAGCGTCAAATTAGGGAGTCCTCCCCCAGAAAATTTTAAAAATAGACTGCCGGAAATACTGTCACAGTATTCTCAGGGGCGGATCCAGGGGGGGGGGGGTTGGGGGTCGACCCCCCCCCCCCCCTCGCTCAGCTACATATTTTTTTTTTGTAAATCAACAATTTTTTATGAGAAAAATTTCTCGGCTTTATCGTCAGATGTGGGACAGGATGGGCACTCAAAGCACAAGATAATGATATAGACATTATGTGATATCACTATTAATGCTTTGCATCAATAATTAAATTGAATCACAATGTCATTATATTAATTCATAATAAAAATTGACGTCAAACGAGGTGTTGAATGTCTCTGTTTAAAAAGCTCAACGTGTATGTATATACGCCAAAATGACGTTAGAGACCATGCGGGAGGGGGGGGGGAGATACATTGTCTCAGGAACCTAGCAAACCCCCTCCTGCAAAAATTCCAGGATCCGGCACCGATCGTCGAGATGAATAGATCTGACCAGATACCGTTCGTCGTTTGATCACTAGTTTATCCGACTAGAGAACAAAATGTCAAACGAACGGACTTACGAACCTCAAAGAATTCCCCTTGTGAGCGCCAAAGTAGCGAGTCTGGGGATCTCGCCAAGAAAATTTTGAAAAATAGACTTCTCGGAAATGCTCTAATGAGTACAACATGCAAGTTTATGACTGAGTGGGGATGTGGGATTTATTCACCGTAGAAGGTATTGATTACCGAAACGTATCACAAATACTTTTTTTTATTTTCTAAAATTATTGGGGGGGGGGGGGGCAAACAGAGGGCAAACCAGATTAATGAGGGGGGCAAATGCCCCCCCCCCCCTCCTGGCGCCTCCACTGGTCCTGGAGCGTTGATTGTGGGCTTGCAATGTAAACAAATATCGAAATAATATTTTTTATAGGGGGACACTGTCATTATAGGCGAAAACAAATATGATATATATGTGGTGAAGAGCAAGATAGCATATTTTTTATGCTTTCGAAATAAGTTTAATAAGCATTGCATTTTTATGTCCATTTGAAGGTAATATTTTGATAATTAGAAATGTTCTTACATTATTAAACAATATCTAGTGAAGAAAATAAGCTTACCCAATATTTCATCTCTTCTTATGGAATTAGACTCAACAGTCAAACTCATTTTCTCACTATATAGGCCTAAATTAAAATGATCGCTCGAGCGTTTTAAATGGAGTTCTATGGTGGCTGATAGTGGCCATGTTAAATCTCGCCCTTTTCATAACGCGACAACACGACATCACGACAGTATTGGCGCAATCATACGACACTTAACTCTGTCGTATCATCGGGTTATTTTTATCCTAACGTCGAGATGTCGACTTATTGGCATAGTCTCTTTCTACAAGTCACAAAAATACAGCTGTACTCATTACACTCATTACATCAGATTAGATACAATAAGACTCGTCAAAAGAGATAATAGGAAAGTGTTGATTAATTATTCGTTTTCTCAAAATAATGAAACATTTTGCGCCCAAAATTGAATTATTGGTATTATATTCAAAAAATCTAGAATTATAATAGCAGGACAAAAGTGAGTCAGCTATGTTAATTCCTTGAATAAAAAGTGGTGTCGGTAGGTATCGAACAAGCATGCATTGCCTCGTGTACGACACCCACCAATACTTATAGATTACTGAAGCGATAGTTTAGAAGCGATTTCAGAAGATTTCCAATATATTTTATTAGAGTGGGAAGGGGATTATATAAAACCTCAAATCAGATCACAGGAAATCACTGCATTGGTGTAGGGGAGGTTTTTTTATGAGGTGAAGAAAGCGATTTGCAGCTGTTATTGACCTTATCGCGTATTCATCCGTTTGGCATCACTAATGGGATCGGGGCCTAGATGATTAAAAATAGGCCCAGTATTGCCTTCAGCTATGAACACACTCCGAAAGTCCCCTACGCACCCCCCCCCCCCTCTTATTTTGTTTAACAAATAATTTCGGAATCAATAAAATGGCAGGTCCCTATCAATGATGTTTGATACGACTGGAAATTAATGTGTCTAAAATTGATTAAACAACATAGGGTAGTAAATATTACATTTCGAATCCGTATCAATGATACATTTACTCAAAATGTTCCTTCTAATGGATCACCATTTAACTTGAAAACAAGGGAAGCAGCCGATCGAAGAAAAAAAGATTTTAAAAAACAAGTTTCAATATGACAGTCGTGGTTCGGTCATGCATTTACATCCGTGGGTGTCATCCTTTCTTTGAAAGTAATGATTGTGCCAAATTTGAACAAAGTCCATCTAGATTCGCGGCCTGTAGGTAAAGTGTTGACAGATAAAACGTAAAAAAAAAAAACAGACCTATAAAAATATATTTTCTAAAACTATTTTAATTTTGAAATTATATTATTTTCACATTTGCCAAGTGTTTTAGCGAATAGTTATAGAAAGGGTCTTGTCGATTAAGACTCTAGCGCATGTGCAATGTGCAGTTTTAAACTTCCGAGACGACAAGTCGACAAGTCGATGATACGACAGTTTCGCTTTTTGTCGTGCCGTCGTATCATCGACTTGTTGTGGCGATAAGTCGATGATACGACGGCACGACAAAATTGGGTCGTCTGATTTTGTCGTATCATCGACCTTATTTTGTCGTGCTGTCGAATTTACCGATGTTGATTATGCACTAGTAGAAATTACAACAGTTGAAAGATCAGATGTAGAAAATACAAACGTTACAAGGCGCATTTGTACATGTGTTTTTTCGTAGTGGACAATACTTTTCTATTTTGTAAAATCGAACATGGAAAAATCATCAAAACAACACTTTCATATGCTGACATAGTAACTTCTACTCGTGTTTACATGTCTTTTAATGTGGCGTCGATCCCCTTCCATAGACGTGGGGGGGGGGGGGGGTAACCGATTCATAAATCGGGTCAGTTTGCACGTTGGAACAGCCTTAAGTTAATATGATAGAAGAGCTTTTAGTTTAAGGGATAGGTTATTGTTATTTTCTCATAATATGAACTCTCTGAACTGTTGTAATATTTTTTTTGATGTATGTTTTTTATGTATATTAATTTATTACGTTATAAACTTCCAGGCTGCGCTACGCTTCGTAAAATAGTAACCTAAAGCATTGATTGTTAAATTGTTTAATATCCCTGCGTAATTAATGCTCCCTGTGTCAGTCTTGCAAATGGCTTTACTAGAAACCATGTTTTTTCGTTTTTGCGTGTGGTCAAGTTAACAGGCTCATGGAGGTAAATAATTCTGTAATATTGCATTTGTATGTCATATTTCGTTTAATGTAGTATTCATTTATTTGTCCTGCTAGGTTTTGCGTTGTGTTAAACTGTATTAATTTGTATTTTTCAGTTTTCACGTCTGTGTTACCGGCATGTCTTTTAATTCAAGTCTGGAAGTTCGAGTCTAAGTTGTTTGCGTTCATCATGATTGTATGATATTCTACGTTAGGCTATTTCCAATGTTTATACGTCATACGATGATATCCTCGTCCGATGTCATGAAGCATTAAAGAGACAATGAATAAAGATATGTATATGGTGTATTACAGTTAGTCGAGTCTCCTTTTCAATCTATGGTGTTATACTCCTGTTATCATGATCACAGGCTGGGTGCGTTCGTCTAGGTCTCCAGCTGCCTCTACAGTGAAAACTCCTCTGCACGGAGTTCGAACACCTTTCGAATGGAATGAAAGGAACTTTATGCGGTAAATATGTAAGTGAACTTTGAAGTTTTCTGACATTAGTGCGTCCTTAGTATTATTTGAACTGTTATAAAAATTGCGGCAGTATTGATGAAGAGGACATTATATTTTTTCGTTTGCGCATTGTTTACAATGGCTTCGTCTGCGAGTGATCCAGTTGATCCTACTGATCAGAGTGCATACGGTTCTGTTAAATCAAGATCAGCGAAAAACTCTGAACGTTCATCAAAAAGATCGTCTGTTATTTCATTGAAGTTAATTCAAGCAGCCGAGGAAGCAGCTGTTATTGAACAGAAATTAAAGTATCATTCCATAGAAGCCGAAAAGAAATTAGAACTTGAAAATATTCAGCTACGTAAAGATTTGGATATTGCGAATGCAAAGGTGAATGCTCTTCGAAGATTTGAAAATGAAGATTTTAAAGTTGAATCCATGGTACCAGTATGTGAACAAAATAAGTCAGAACTTGTCGCAACCTTTGTGAATAGTCATAATTTTTCTACAGATTATGGTGATCCGCCTCACTTGTCACCTGCAGTTAACCCTATTAACCCTGTGAGTTCGATAAGTAAACCTGTCATTCCTGCCAGTTCACCTTTGGTGTCTTTACCGCCACCCCAAATTCCAGTTAGTGATGTATATAATAATACCCCACATGCATCACAGTCCGCTCCTGCCCAAGTTTCTTCTGCTGTACATGTACCTGCCAGTGACTTGGTTCGTATTTTGACAGATCAGGCTAACTTTAATAGATTACCCCCTCCAGAACCAGGTGTGTTTTCCGGTGACCCTTTGAAATATCCAAACTGGAAGTGTGCCTTTAAAACACTGATCGAACATAAGAACATTCCGAAAGAACAATGTATGCATTATCTGCATCGATATATCAGTGGTCCAGCTAAGGAAGCCATTGAAAGTTACTGTCTTCTTGACACTCCGACAGCATTTGAAGATGCAAAGTCATTGCTTGAAAAGCGATATGGAGATCCATTTATTGTGGCTAATGCATTTAGGGACAAATTAGAGGCTTGGCCAAAAGTACCTAACCGAGATGGTCCTGCACTGCGTCATTTTGCGGATTTTCTTAAACAGTGTTACACTGCGATGCGAACAATTAATTTGCCTTAATGTACTGAATGATATGCGTGAAAATAGAAAACTGTTAAATAAACTCCCTGATTGGTTGGTGATGCGTTGGGGAAGAACTGTTAGTGATTATAGAAAAAAGAGACAAGAGTTCCCTCCCTTTAGTGAATTTGTTGGCTTTGTGACTGATGAAGCAGACATTGCATGTGACCCTTTAACTTCCATTACATGTGCGCCTAATAAGAAAGAACATGTTCCTTCAACATATCAACGTAGAACTGCATTTTCAACTGAAATAAAGGAATATTCGAGTTATGTTCCAGAAAATTGTGCCTTTTGTCATAGATCAAGTCATTCCATTAATGATTGTACTTTATTCGCTAAAAAATCAATGTCTGACCGTAAAGACTTTCTGAGGTCAAACAGATTATGTTTTGCTTGCTTATGTCTTGGGCATGTGTCACGTGCTTGTAAATCAAGACTCAGGTGTAGAATTTGTAATCATTTGCATCCTTCATTACTTCATGGAGATACTGGTCAACCAAGTAGGCCAATGCGTAATGAAAATACTGAAGTCAAGTCTGCTGTTTCGCATACTTTAAGAACTGGGACTGATAAGTGCGCTATGATCGTACCGGTGTGGTTGTCTCACAAAGATAATCCAAGTAAAGAAATTTTGACGTATGCTCTTTTGGATTCTCAGTCCGACACAACATTTGTTTTAGACAAAACATGTGATGCTCTTGACATAGAAGGACTTCCTGTTAAATTGTCTTTGTCTACTATGTTTGCTAAAGACACTCTTATCGACAGTCGTAAACTTAATGGTCTTGTTGTGCGTGGCTATAATTTTGACGTTAGAATTCCGCTGCCTGATACCTATACAAGAGATATTATGCCAGCTAATCGTACTAGTATACCGACACCTGATGTGGCGAAGCGTTGGTCATATTTAGAACCCGTTGCAAATAAACTTCAACCTTTGATGAGTTGCGACGTTGGATTGCTCATTGGTTACGATTGTGCAAGAGCTCTAGTTCCACGCGATGTCATACCCCCGAGAGTAATGGTCCATACGCTGAACGGACAGACTTGGGTTGGGGCATCATTGGTATTGTAGATTTTAATTCGACTCATGAAGTAGATCATATTGGCTTGAGTCATCGCATTATAACTTGTGAAGTGCCTAATTTGAACACTGCGGACATTGATGGTCGACAGGATGTTGTCGATCGCTGCGATCAAGGTCAAGTTCATATTTCGTTTCGCAACAAGATAAAGGAAGTCATCAGTCCAGATTGTATTCTTAAGCTCATGGAAATGGATTTCAATGAACACTTGGATGACTCTTCAATTATGTCTAGTGACGACCGGAGATTTTTGGACATAATGTCGCGAGAGATTCATATTGCACCAAATGGACATTACGAAATGCCATTACCGTTTCGGAGTTCTGAACCAGTTATGCAGAATAATAAAACTTGAGCACTTCGTCGTTTGTATCATTTAGAGTCACGTCTTCGTAGGGATAAACATTTGCGCTCAGATTACGTAAGTTTTATGGAAGACATTATTGATAAAGGATATGCCGAAAGGGTTAGTGATGATTCGTACATATCTGAACATGTTAATTATATTCCGCATCACGCCATTAACAACCCAAAGAAACCTGGAAAAATCCGTGTGGTATTCGATTGTCAAGCTAAGTTCCGAGATAAATCTTTGAATGACTACCTGTTGAAAGGACCGGACTTAACAAACGCCTTAGTTGGTGTACTTTGTCGATTTCGGAAAGAACGAGTTGCCTTTATTTGCGATATCGAAAAGATGTTTTACCAGTTTCACGTTAATGTTGAACACCGAGACTACCTTCGATTTCTCTGGTGGAGAAATGGTAATTGTGACTCTAAACCTCAAGAATTCCGTATGACCGTTCATTTGTTTGGGACTGGGTCATCTCCGGGATGCTCAAACTTCGCTTTAAAACAAGCCGCGAAAGATCACGAGAAAGATTTCGGCACAGTTGTCTCAAATTTCATTCAGAAGGATTTCTATGTTGACAATGGTTTAACGTCAGTTTCGTCTGTGAGTGAAGCTATCGACCTAATCAGTAAGAGTAAGGAACTTTTATTGTGTTGTGGAATACGTTTGCATAAATTTCTATCTAATTCAGCAGAAGTTATTGAATCTATACCGTGTCATGATCGTGCGGAAGGAGTAAAGAATCTCGATTTGACTATCGATGATCTCCCAACAGAACGTGCACTAGGGATTGAGTGGTGCATTGAGTCGGATGCGTTCCGATTTCGAATCAAACTTTCGGATAAACCTTTAACGAGAAGAGGTATACTTTCTATTATAAGTTCGATATACGATCCGCTTGGCTTCATATCTCCTTTACAAGAAATATGTAGGCTTAACACTGGTTGGGATGATGTGATTCCTGAAGATTTGCTACCACGTTGGCAACGGTGGAGAGATGAACTGTTTAAAATTGAGACTCTTAAGATTGATAGATGTTTCAAGCCTGATGGTTTTGGAACTGTGGTTTCCGTAGGGATTCATAATTTTTCGGATGCGAGTACATTCGGCTATGGAGAATGCTCTTATTTGCGACTAGTGGATGCTAATCAACGTGTTCATGTTTCATTAGTCATGTCGAAGTCCAGAGTGACTCCGTTGCGAGCTATAACTATTCCACGTCTTGAACTGACTGCAGCTGTCGTTGCTGTCAATGTGAACTTATTAAAAAAGAATTAGGATACCCTACAGTTGCTCAATATTTTTGGACTGATAGTCGTGTCGTATTAGGGTATATAAACAACGATGTTCGTCGCTTTCAAACATTTGTTGCAAATCGCGTCCAGAAAATCCGAGATCATTCACAACCGAGAGAATAGCATCATGTTACAACGGTAGCAAATCCTGCGGACATAGCGTCTAGGGGCGCATCTGCTAATGACTTAGTTGAAAATTTAATGTGGTTTAAAGGACCAGAGTTTCTGTGGAAATCTGTAATACCGGATGACAAGGAAGATTATTCGAGTATCGCCTTTGAGGCAGATGATCCTAACATTCGTAAAATTAACTCTTTCGCTCTGAAAACCGAGAACAGTTTTGATGTGACGAGACTGAGTTTTTGTTCTAGTTGGTTTCAACTTAAAAAGGTTATTGCCTACTGTTTACGTTACATGTCTATTCTTAGAAATCGAATTGCTAAGGACACTAATATTGAAAATCCTGTTGGACCTTTAAGGGTTAACGAACTTAATAAAGCAGAAATTGTGTTATTGAAGCTAGTTCAATCAGAAGTTTTTAGTAAGGAGTTGGAAACTTTGCGATCCGTGAAACAGCTTCAAAATGAGTCTAATAGAAATGACATTCGTTTGCGTCGGAAGTATATACAAAAGAATTCAACTTTGAGTAAGTTAGATCCATTTTTGGATGATCATAACCTTTTACGAGTTGGTGGACGACTTGGTAACTCAAGACTAAGTTGTGCTGAGAAATACCCAATTATTATGCCGCGTAAGTCTTTCGTGACAGAACTTTTAATTGCTCATCATCATGAATTGTGTGAACACCAAGGTCGTGGACTTACTGTGAATGAACTTCGTTTAAACGGTTATTGGATTCTGGGATGTACCAGTGCGGTTTCGGAATACATTCATAAATGTGTTAAATGTAGGAAATTGCGTGGTCGATGTCAAGACCAGAAGATGTCAAATCTTCCCGAAGACAGATTGGAATCCACGGCGCCCTTTACGTATTGCGGAGTTGATTGTTTTGGCCCTTGGTTGATCAAAGAGGGGCGTAAAGAACTCAAGAGATATGGTGTTCTGTTTACCTGTTTAAATTGTCGCGCGATTCATGTAGAGACTGTCAATACCATGACTACTGATTCTTTTATCAATGCGTTGCGTAGGTTTTTAACATTTCGTGGTCCAATACGAGTGCTTCGGTGTGACAACGGAACTAACTTTGTTGGAGCTAAGCGAGAGCTTAAGGATGCTTTCAAAGAGATGAATCATCAACACATCCGACAGTTCCTGCTTAAACGTAGTTGCGATTATTTCGAGTTCAAGATGAACGTCCCTTCTGCCAGTCACATGGGAGGCATTTGGGAACGGCAAATTAATGGACCAATCCGGTACTCAACTAGATGACGAGTCACTTCGGACATTTATGTGCGAGGCAGCTGCAATCGTAAACAGCCGACCCTTAACGACTGATACTTAAAATGATATCAATTCTTTAGAACCTCTCACGCCTAACAATCTATTAACTATGAAATCAAAAATTCTGTTACCACCACCTGGTAATTTTCAACAACCTGACGTTTACTCTAGAAAACGTTGGAGACGAGTACAGTATTTGGCTAATGTTTTTTGGTCCCGTTGGCGAGTAGAATATTTACAGAATCTACAAACTCGACAGAAGTGGACTCAACCCATTCGAAATGTTCAAGTTGGTGACGTTGTTTTGATTAAGGATGCTGAATCTCCCCGAAATAGTTGGAACTTAGGAAGGGTTGTTGTTGCGGACCCAGACTCAGATGGACATGTGCGAAAGGTGAAGATTATGATTGGTGATCGTGCGTTGGATGATAACGGAAAGCGAGTTAATCCTATATCATACCTGGATCGTCCAATTCATAAACTAGTTGTTTTATTGGAAAACTAGACCGGGGTGTTCCCCATCAAGGAGCCTTCGTTTTTGCGATTACGATTACGTCAGTGCGTTGCGGGACATTTTGTTGTTCTATCTTGCCATACATATAGATGTAGGCCTACATGTATGTACATTTTCGTTGCGATTTGGTTAGTGCGATACGAATATGGGAATTCGAACATTCTGTAATAATTGTCAATTTTAGTCTTGGTAATGTGCGTATATTTATGTACATGTAACATGTAATATCTTTCTGCGCAGATTGCAGAGTGTCTTGTCATGCTTCATTTTATGAAAATTAAATGTCTTTAATTTTGAGGAGCCATCTAACTGATTCATAAATCTAATAATATGAACTCTCTGAACTGTTGTAATGTTTTTTTTGATGTATGTTTTTTATGTATATTAATTTATTACGTTATAAACTTCCAGGCTGCGCTACGCTTCGTAAAATAGTAACCTAAAGCATTGATTGTTAAATTGTTTAATATCCCTTCGTAATTAATGCTCCCTGTGTCAGTCTTGCAAATGGCTTTCCTAGAAACAATGTTTTTTCGTTTTTGCGTGTGGTCAAGTTAACAGGCTCTTGGAGGTAAATAATTCTGTAATATTGCATTTGTATGTCATATTTCGTTTAATGTAGTATTCATTTATTTGTCCTGCTAGGTTTTGCGTTGTGTTAAACTGTATTAATTTGTATTTTTCAGTTTTGACGTCTGTGTTACCGGCATGTCTTTTAATTCAAGTCTGGAAGTTCGAGTCTAAGTTGTTTGCGTTCATCATGATTGTATGATATTCTACGTTAGGCTATTTCCAATGTTTATACGATGATATCCTCGTCCGATGTCATGAAGCATTAAAGAGACAATGAATAAAGATATGTATATGGTGTATTACAGTTAGTCGAGTCTCCTTTTCAATCTATGGTGTTATACTCCTGTTATCATGATCACAGGCTGGGTGCGTTCGTCTAGGTCTCCAGCTGCCTCTACAGGGGGGGTATGAGGCTTTTAGAGTGTGTTCATAGTTGAAGATATTACTGGGCCTATTTTTACTCATCTAGGCCTCAATCCCATTAGTGATGTCAAATGGGAGAGAGAGAGAGGGGGTTTAACGCCCACTCGACACAAATTAGGTCATTTCGGGACTAACATATGGTTTAATTTTATTTCAATAAATCGTTTGCGCGTAGGGGTCTTTAGCAGTGGGAGGAAACCGGAGGACCCGGAGAAAACCCACGAGGTTTGACAGGCGACCCTACACCTTGTCGCGTACAACCGGGGATTCAAACTACGCCAGTTGACTCAATGACAGGCTGCGAATCGTTTTCTCCACCTCATTCAAAAAAACTCCTGCAACTATTGGGGTGACGTGCTGCACTATGATAATGCTGTGATTTTAAAGAATGTGACCCGATTTGGTTTTTTTACAATCCCCTTCCCACCCTGTCTTCTGAAATCATTTTTAACCTATCGCTCCAGTCATCTATAAATATTGGTGGGTGTCGTACACATGTCAATGAATGCTTACTTGTTCGATACCTCCCGACACCACTTTTTCTTCAAGGAATTAACTTAGCTAACTCACTTTGGTCCTGCTATTGTAATTCTAGATTTTTTAAATATAATACCAAATATAATTCACTTGTGGACACAAAATGTTTCATTATTTTGAGAAAACAAATAATTAATCAACGTTTTCCTACTATCTTTTATATTTATCAAATCTACTACTTAGGCCTATATATGATGTAATGAGTACAGCTGTATTTTTGTGACTTGTAGAAAGAGACTAGGACAATAAGTCGACATCTCGACGTTATGATAAAAATAACACGATGATACGACAGAATAAAGTGTCGTATGATTGCGTCAATACTGTCGTGATGTCGTGTTGTCGAGTTATGAAAAGGGCGAGATTTAACATGGCCACTATCAGCCACCATAGAGTTTAACGAGGGCAGTGATCAAGATCTGGAAGTATGACGTAGATGGATCGCCGCGTGCAGATTGATTTATAGTGCGCCCTTTCATATACATGTTCATTTGGGGGCACTTTACAAAGTGACAATATAATCATAAATAAACAACAAGATTATGGACATGTTAACGATTGTATACAGTCAGTTAAAGCCTGATTTAAGTAGCTAAGTCTCTAACTCAATATCATCCAAAGTCTTACACGTTGAAAACACGAATTATTTGTCAATTCAAATCAGCATTGGTGTTGTGATCCTACCGGGAAAAGGTGGGCTTCTGATATTCAATATTTAAGATAAAATAAACATTTTACCATCGGTACACGAATCGTGTACCATAGTGCTTTTCAGCGTCATTTGTAACAAGTGACCAGAAAGAACGAGGCTAGACATATTCCACAACTCATGTCAAACGGTGACGCCATGAGAGCATGCGCAATATACTGGAATAACCAGACGCTAGAAATAGCGATTCGGTTGAGACTCATGCCATATTTCGCTGGAGATAACTGATTTGAAATTAAGAGTCAAAACGGAAACAATTGAATGTAAATCAGTTTATATACAATCAGATTACATTATTATATGCGTTGCGACCCATTTGGGTCAATTTCTAGGTCAAAAGTATTAGCGATTTAGCCCCCTTTTAAATAAATGGATATAAATCGGTCCATAACGTAAAAGCTGACGGATGTGGACATTTTTTATTTATTTATTTAATAAAGGTTACAACATGACAATTAGAAGAGACTTTTACTTAGGATAGCCCATAAAGCCGAACGTTTATACATTTCCCGACAGGTTTTGGTGAATATTCTTGATTTTGACGCGGAGACATTCAACTGTATAAGTTGAAATGTAGAGCGGGTCGGTTGTAGAAAATGGGTTAGGTCTATTTCATAAGGCCATCTGCGGATTTGGCCAAAGGTCACGTGATGTAAACAGCTCTTGAATGTCAACGCCCTTTTTTAACTCGGTAGCTCGATTTACCAAAATCCCCCCAAATCTACCAAAATCCACCATTATTTCAACTCATACACAGAGTAAGTATCCATAAAACGACTCACTTTTCGTTGACTAACATGGGACTAACTTGGGACATACATGGGACTCAAATGATAAATCCAAAGACTCAGTTTTGTGACATCCAAAAATCCATAAAACGACTCGTTTACTGAGTCAAGTTACTCATCTGGTAAATTGGGTTCTTTGACTCCTTTATTGGGTCATGTGACACAAGATTGAGTAACGCTACTCTGTGGTAACGCGACTTTATTTCAGTAGATTTTGTGAGCTTTCTGTCCAATTAAAAAACATGTCTTGGTGTAACAATATCATGGCTAGCAATATTGTTATCTTTACAATTCATTGATCCTAAATTCATAATCAAGAAATTTATCAAGTAATGTAGATTATTTTAATAGTTAACTGGGCTATAGATTAATGAACATATTGGTCATTTATGTGTTCCTTTCTTTTAAAAATGTATGTCATATTTGTTGACCAAATTAGGTAATAATCCCAGTATATCTATTCCATATTTTGAATTTAGCTGTGCAGCCTATGCCATAAATCAATTAGGGGCAGGAATCTATAAAAGAGGGAGCGGGACTAGAATAGTTTTACACACGCATTGGATTCTTTAGAGATCAGACATCATTGGGTTCTGTAGAAGTCAGATTGATTCTCGTGATGTAGTGTATTCCTGAGTCTATCCACGCTGGTTAAACTTTTACAGGAGTTGGGGTTGAGAGAAAGAGATGTTAATTTTAACTATTGTAAGGTAGACTATTGTGTAACTGTTGTGACATAAAAACGTATAGAAAAAAAAACTATCGTTGTTCCTGTAACATATTTGATTTCGGTATCGTGAGAAAAGACAACGGTGAAGTCATTTTAAGAAGAGAGATACAACAGTAGCCAGTGTCCAGAGTCATTATACCAACCTCAAGACGATCAGGCGAAAACAAAGATATGTGGTAGCGGTAGTGCTACAGTGGTGAAATGCATTAAAGTAAACAGTGCATCACTATAACCGCTTTGTATCTTTGATGGAAAAATATGTGGCTTGGAACTATGGTGTGTAGAATTTTTGGTGGTGCCCTGGACAAACCCATTGATTGATACACCCACAAGACTCAAGTAAAGGGCCTAGTACTCAAATTATTTAAATTAAAGAAGACAGTTTATACACCAAAGATAACATCAATAATTTCAAATTTCAAACATAATTTAATTTCACTCTTTGATGGGACCTCTTCTTTCCGAGGAAATGGTTGACCGTATCTGTCGCCTGGTCTTTTGCCTTGGAAATATTTTGTCTGTACTTATGGATTCGTGTAAGGTGAAGTTCGACTAAGAAGTGAAACAGTCCTGAATTTTATTATTTTTAGATATCTAGAGATGTTTGTCACGTTCCCTACAGTTACGACTTTCTTCAAACCATTCAAGCAGTTTGTTGAACTTTATAATGATTAATTTTAACCATAGAAATAAATATATATATCATTTGCATTATTCCTAGAACATTATGGCACTAACCGATGTTCCTTGTCCGTCCTGCACTCACAAGAAAAAACCAAGGTGAAATGAAATGGGGTTTAACGTCCTACTGTTCTGCTCCTATGCTGGGCTAATGAAAACGGGCATACGCCATACAGTGTGCTATGAGGGAAATTTTGCCCGGGCAGTGGCACTATCGCCTACTCTTATATCAGTTCCAACTGCCAAGGGATCTTTTACGTGTATTCCAATGTATACACGGGACCTCAGTTTTTCGTATCATCCGAAGGACTAGACAGCTGTCCTTGTCAGGCCCTCCATCCTGCATCACTGACAAGGGGGAACCACACCGGAAAATCTAAATGAACTTTCTCGGCCAATGCAGGGAGATCGATCACCCGATCTCCAGGCTAGCGAGCCAGCGCCTTAGCCACGTATCCCCGGGCCAACAGAGACATTTTATTGTGTTAAAATTAATGAACTCCTTATATTCACCATGGCTCCCAGTTTTGAAACAAAATGGGCGAAATATAATTAATAAACACTTTCATATTTTATTTAAAACCCACACAAGAATAAATAAATACACATGAAATAAATATACCTTTATTCAAATAAATGAATAACATCAGTCTAATAACATTTCATCTAACAAACTTAAAGATGCATCATGTAAGATTTATATAAATAGCTGGCCCTTCTTTCTATAATAGTTGAAAATTTCAGTCAAAGGTGTTCCAATACATTTAATATCTTGGTCATCTGATGACCCAAAGAGTTGATTATGGGCTTCTCTGATGACCCAAAGAGTTGATTATGGGCTTCTCATGTAAATAAATGTTTAAATAATAATTGATATAACGCTTGAAGCCAGAAAAAATGAAATGAATTAATGTGGTTTAATGTCCTAATGAAGCCAGAACAGAAAAAAGAAAATGAAATAGGCTGATTTAAGCTCTTAATGCATCGTTAAACTTTCTATTTTCATGTGTATATATATATATATATATATATAACAAACAATTAAACTTCTACATAATGCTGGTATGATATTTAACACTTTTATCAAAAAATAAATAAAACAATTTAAAGTTGATTGCAATTAATGCTTGTTTAAATACTGTAAAAATAATGAAGTTACTGCCCTCTATCCTATCTGTTACTACTTGTTTTAATACTGTAAAAAGAACATGAAGTTACTTTGCTCTATCCTATGACATCTGTTACTACTTTCAGTTTCAGTGCCGTTTAGTTATTGAGCGCGACATACACACACGTCACAATTCTATGGAATACAATTTATTACTGAGTGCAGTTTCCACTAAAAAAGAGAGAAATGGGGTTTAACATCCACTCAACACAAACTAGGTCATTTCGCGACTAACCCATGGTTCAATTTTATTTCAATAATTCGCTTGAGTGTAAGGGTCATTAGCCGTGGGAGAACATCCACTCGACATAAACTAGGTCATTTTACGACTAACCCATGGTTCAACTTTATTTCAATAATTTGCTTCAACGTAAGGGTCATTTGCCGTAGGAGAGCCTCCACTCGACACAAACTAGGTCATTTTACGACTAACCCATGGTTCAGTTTTATTTCAATAATTGCTTGAGTGTAAGGGTCATTAGCCGTGGGAGAACATATGGTTTAATTTTATTTCAATAATTCGCTTGCGCGTAGGGGTCTTTAGCAGTGGGAGGAAACCAGAGGACCCGGAGAAAACCCACGAGGTTGGACAGGCAATCCTTCTCCTTGTCACGTACAACCAGGGATTCGAAACCACGCCAGTTGACTCAATGACAGGCCTCGTGATACAGCGCGCGCGTGCTAACCATTCTGCCATCCAACCCCCCTCAAACAGTAATTGTATTCCATAGAAATGTATTTTGTGTATTTATAGTTATCTACAGGAATTTATATTTCTATGAGAAATAAATGGCATATAAAAGTATTATGAATTAAAAGTTACTAATGCTTTCTTCTTTTAAAAATCGACATAAAACTGAAATTTTGAAGCTGCCATCATCAAGATATCTGTGACCTTATTTACAAAAACACGACGACTCTTTTCTTTAAAAAACATAAAATACACAGATTATAAAATACACAGGTTTTAACACATATTTTGTATCAAAAATACACACTTGTTTAAACAAATAAAATACACTGGTTTCACCAGAATATGTTGTACCTCAAATAACACATTTTTATGGAATAACAATTACTATGGTTTATTACACTGTGATGTTTCAACAAGATTTCACAAGTCGTTATCAAGCATATTATAGACGAATCCTGTGTTATTTGATTATATTCCAATTACTAAATGCCATTTAAAGAATAGATGTTGTACCTCTATGGACATCTAAACACTGAAAATAACACACTAAACACTGAGTTTATTTATAAGCTGAATATATGAACAATGGCTTCCATGTTTACCAGGAGTGGTATATAATGTAGGTGTACCAGTGAGGATGTGATTTACAGCAGTATATAATAGCACTCAATAATAAAACAATAGTTTAATTAATAACACTGATAGGTTTACCAATTATAGGCTGATGGCTGTCAACACGAGCTTCTACATTCTTAAATCTAAAAATAAATCAAAACAAAACACATTATAAAATTACTTTCAAAAATATGTTTGACTGTCTCTAGCTAAATGAGATTCAGAAAGGGGGGTAACCCTGCAACAGAAGGTCATGAAACACTTAATATCGATAAGGTTTGTCCAAGCAAGGCTTCACACTAATGTAAGGCTTGAACAATGTAAAATCCATTAAAAGCTGTAGACCCCATTGTTTTACAAGGCCTGCAACTCGTAAGACATGATCGTAAATACATTGCAATTGATTACAAAATATATATCATTTAAATTCTTGAAAAAAAAAACTTGTTAAAAAATAATACTGGTATATTTATGTTACAAGATGTCTGACACCAAGTATATATTTGATCTGGACACAGATTCCATTTGTGAATGAACTGGCAATTTAACGTCTTTTAGGCACCACCTTAGTTCATTAAGAAAATTGTGCATGGTCATATACACAGAAACTTGGTTTTTCATCCCATCTCAATGACTACACGCCTTTCTTGCAAGGTCCAGTGACCAGTACTCATTGTTGTCAACAACTGCACATAAAAAAGCCTTGACAGTTAGAATTCAATGAAGCACAGACGGATGCAAAAATTTCCTCGTAGTATCAAGTTGGAAGTTAAACCCCATTTTATTTCATTTCCAACAATTTCTTCCCTTTCTATAATTCATCTATTTACTTGTTCCAAGATAAGCTTACATAAAATAAAAATCTGAAACATACTACAAAGGTCTGATGAAACAATTTGCAATTTAATTGGGCATCCCAAATATAACTTTCCCTTTTATATTTTTAATCCCGTTTTCAATATTAGATCAATACCTGATGAGTAATCTCCAGGTTCATGCAATACACAAACCTAAAACAATCACAACACAACTATATCTAGCTACAATACCCTGAATATTGTATTGTATTGGTTGAATCAAGGGGAGATAATTTGAATATAAGGGGAGATAATTATAACATACCTTGTCAGTTTGAAGGGTGATTTATCCCCATCTACTTGCGTATTACCGGTTGTGGATTTGTTTGTGTTAGTAGCTCTACGGCTTGTTGGACTAGGTGACGATCTATAATCAAAACAAAACATTTATAGTGGAATTTAGAACAAAATCAAAATAGTAGAATTTATAATATACTCAAAACAAGAAAACATTTATAGTTGTACTACAGTGGAATTTATAACAAAATCAAAACAAGAAACATTTAGAGTGGAATTTATAATATAATCAAAACTAGAAAACATTTGTATAGTGGAATTTATAACCAAACTAGAAAACATTGGTATAATGGAATTTATAACAAAAATAGAAAACATAAATAGTGGAATTTATAACAAAATCCAAACAAGAAAGCAATTATAGTGGAATTTATAATATAAAATCAAAGCAAGAAAACAATTATAGAAATTGTAACAAAATCTAAACAAGAAAACATTTATATAGTAGAATTTATAATATAATCAAAACAAGAAAACATTTATAGTAGAATTTATAACAAATGCCTATTTATAAATATCCAAATGAATAAGACAGTTCACGAAGTTGAAATTCCAGTAAACAAAAGCAGAGGAAATGCTATCAAATTACCAAAGTCTCATTGCATCATTTTAGCACAATAGGAAGTTCTTTCAAACTACAATATTGTGAAAGATCAATCTCTAATAAGAAAATCGGTCCAAAAATGATTCATTTCCTTTTTGGTATTCACGAAGACATGTTGAATTGATATAGGGGGGTTGGATGGCTGAATGGTTAGCGTGCGCGCGCTGTATCATAAAGTCTGTCATTGAGTCGACTGGCGTGGTTTCGAATCCCCGGTTGTACGTGACAAGGAGTAGGGTCGCCTGTCCAACCTTGTGGGTTTTCTCCGGGTCCTCCGGTTTCCTCCCACTGCTAAAGACCCCTACGCGCAAGCGAATTATGGAAATAAAATTGAACCATATGTTAGTCCCGAAATGACCTAGTTTGTGTCGAGTAGACGTTAAACCCCATTTCTCTCTCTCTCTCTCTCTGAATTGATTGATAGACCTATTTTAAATCCGAATGAATCCCAGCTATGAGGTTATTTAGCGTTGTTATTTTGATTTCTTAATTAAATGTTAAATAATCAACCTGAGCACATATTAATGTAGATTCAGTAATGAGACATTGGATATTTTAGCGACAAATGCAAACGATACATCGTTATTTTCTGATTGTTTCCAGTAACTCTTTATAACAGTTACAATTAACACTAGATAATCCTTATTTCAAATAACTCTTTACGACAGTAACAATTAACAATGGATAATCCTTATTTCCAGTAACTCTTTATGACAGTAACAATTAACACTATTTAATCCTTATTTCCAGTAACTCTTTACGACAATAACAATTAACAGTATTTAATCCTTATTTCCAGTAACTCTTTACGACAATAACAATTAGCAATACATAATCCTTATTTGGCTGAATTTTGACAAAATCTGGGTTAAAATGCATCAATGTTCTTCAGTTTACAATCAATTCTATATAAATTTCAACTCACTTGGTAGTTTTATTCGTTGTGACAGTTTTTCCATATTTATCATCGTATTCTGATGGAATAGGGGGTTCCCCTTTAGGTTTAGCCGGCGGTGACTTAGCGTTCTGTCTGTTCATCTGTTCATGCCATTGTCTCTCATAATCGTAGGATAATATTTTGTTCATCTGACCATATCGATCTCCCTTAGTTACGCTGGAATATAAAATATAGATATTATTATATGGTTCATCTGACTATATACCAATCTCCCTTCGTTACGGGGGGGGTGGGGGTGGTGGTGGATGGCTGAATGGTTAGCGTGCGCGCGCTGTATCATAAAGTCTGTCATTGAGTCGACTGGCATGGTTTCGAATCCCCGGTTGTACGTGACAAGGAGTAGTGTCGCCTGTCCAACCTCGTGGGTTTTCTCCGTGTCCTCCGGTTTCCTCCCACTGCTAAAGATCCCTATGCGCAAGCGAATTATTGAAATAAAATTAAACCATATGTTAGTCCCAAAATGACCTAGTTTGTGTCGAGTGGACATTAAACCCCATTTCTCTCTCTCCCCTTCGTTACGCTGGAATATAAAATATAGATATTATTTGGTTCATCTGGCCATATCGATCTCCCTTAGTTACGCTGGAATATAAAATATATTCATTATACGCTGGAATATAAAATATAGATAATATTATTTAGTTCATCTAACAATATACCGTTCTCTCTTAGTTACACGCTGGAATATATTAATTATTATTTAGTTACAATTAGTGTCTGTTTGTACGTGGAACCAAGGTGGCTCAGTGATAAAAAGAGCTGCCTCACTAACCAGATAGTCACGGGTTCAGTCAGGATTTTTCAGCATGTTTTCCCCTTATGAGCAGTTTAGGATGGAGGGACTGGCAAGCAACAGTGCCTAGTTTTTAGATGGGACAAAAAAATTGAGGTCCTGTGAGGAAAGCAAGTACACGAAACCTTGCTAGAATTTGATGAAAATATGAAATGGGGTTTAATAACGTCCAACTGTTCTGCTTTGACAGGGTTAATGAAGACAGGCATACGTTATGCAGTGTGCTACAGCCAACTCTTATATTGAATTCCAGCTGTCAGTGTTTTTTTACGTGCAAGCCATTGTGTCACGGGACCTGGGTAATTCGTCCCATCGAATGACTATATGTCTGTCCTACATCATTGACAAGGGGGAATCACGTCAGAAAATCCAGATGAACTTTCCCCCCCAACGTAAAGATCGAACAAGGGACTTCCCGGTTAACAAGCCAATGTCCTACCCACTGAGCCACCGTGGCAACGCTGTTGTGTGGGCCACCCTGTGTACACCAGGCCCTCCATTTACCTCTGACTAAAGGGTACCACGCCGGAAAACCCTGAGTTACTTTCTCGACCAACACAGGGTGCGAACCCGAGACCTCCTGGTTAGCAAGTCAACATCTTACAGAGTAACGATCGTCAACTCACCTTGTATTTGTATGATCTTGATGCGAAACAGTGGCTGTTGGTTTACCCGCCTGCGATCTGGCTTTCACTGGTTTACTGTTTCTAACCCCGTATCCTGGGGGCCTGGCTTCTGGCAGACGGACACGTTTATCTGTTGCGTCTCTACCTTCAGACTGAAATACCGACACTTTATCACAGGCATATGGAACACGACCTGTCTCTCCTGGACCGTAACTACCGACAGGTGCTCCGTCAGCAAAACTAGGTGTGTAGCTGTCGTGTACCATATATTCTGGTAATAGAAATTCCCATGGCCTGGAAAAACATTAAAAATAATAATACATGGCAGAGGTATACCTGCAAATACAAACATACAACAAATATATTATGTGGACTCCTTAAATGAGAAGTGGTACTGAGGTGTTCTAGAAAGACAAAGTGAGAGGGAGAGAGAGAAATGGGGTTTAACGCCAACTGGACACAAACTATGTCATTTGGGGACAAACATATGGTTCAATCTTATTTCAATAATTTGCTTGTGCGTAGAGGTCTTTAGCAGTGGGAGGAAACCGGAGGACCCGGAGAAAACCCATGAAGTTGGACAGACGACCCAATTTCTTGTCACGTACAACCAAGGAATAGAAAAGAAACCACGCCAGTTGACACCATGACAGACCTTATGATACAACATGCACAGGCTAACCAATCGGCTATCCAACCCCCAAGAAAGACAAAGCATATCCTGCCTCGACCAATACCACTTGTATCAATAAATAGGTACCTTGTAAAATCTAAGACTCCATGAGACGTTAACGTATTCTGACAGAAGTATATCACAAATACTAATACACAATAAATATAAGATTGCCACATGGACTCCTCAAAAGAAAAGTGGTACTTAGGTGTTCTAGAAAGTGTAAGAAGACTCATGCACAGCACCCATTATTAATGAAGTAAACTGAAATGGCTAATGAAGATGGACAAATGACATGTAGTGTGTTATGATGGAAGCTTGTGCATGGACACCTGCATTCCTTTCTGCTCTTCATTGAATTCCAACTGCAAGGGACCTTTCATGTCTACACAAACGAGCATTCTCAGACTTAAGTTAAGAATTTATTCAAAACTGTTTCATTTTTACTAAAATACAGCCCTTTATAAAACTTTTGTTGTTTTTTAATGTATCAAATACACAAATAAGAAACTATGTCCAAAGTTTTGTGTTTAGAACTGGATCAAAGGTATTTCTTATAATCAGTGACTGAAAGTTTAAAGCACATTCTTATCTAAAGTCTGAGATTGCTTTGTGAACTCAGTCCTGGCCCCGAGTTCACAAAGCATTCTCAGACTTAAATTGAGAATTTGCTTAACTTTCAATCACTGTTTATGAGAAATATCTTTGATCCAGAAACACAAAACTTTGCACATAGTTTCTTATTGATATATCTGATGCATTAAAACAACAAAATTATCATAAAGGGCTATATTTTAGTTAAAATAAGGCGAACAAGTTTGAGTAAATTCTCAACTTAAGTCTGAGAATGCTTTGTGAACATGGGGCCTGGTCCTCTTGTTTTTCATCCCACTCTGAAAATTCCAGAGAAACATTCCAGGTTCAAGTTTTCTTGACCAACACCACCACCTAGTTAGTGAACCAGTATCTTTCTTACTGCAGCACTGTGATTTCTTATTTAAAAACGTTTTTAAATTGATGGACTCCATAGTTTGTTTTTGCCAATTAGATACATTATTATTTTAAATAAAATATAGCCCTTTATTTTTAATCCTGACCCCAACCAGTTACCTCCTAATACATGTAGCACAAGTTACAACCTATAATTAACTGCTGGTTAAAATTTTGATCAACTGTTATTCTTTTAGTCTACTTACTTTTTCTCTCCCTCATTCTCAGCGTCTTCCATGGCGTTATCTTGAAGATAAAACCAATCTACTCGTGGATAACCTTTTGCTTCTTTAGAAGGACCTGATGGTTCTCGAAAAACCAACAAATCTAAAACATATAAATAAAAAATAAACATTCGTCCAAATGTAGAATTCATTAGCCAATCACCACTCATCATCCACTCATATCGCAAAGTCATGTGATTGTTTGAAGACATGGTCACCACTTCACCACCATGTTTAATCATGTGGTGTAAAAGGTGATGAAATTGACGGGTGGATCGGTCGACGCAAGCGCCTAGTGTGTCCACCCATTCAGCCGAATAAGAATCAGCGCTGATTAATTTGGCTAATGTGTCCACCGCTTTATTATATTTTATTTAAAAATTCAAGTAAACCATTGAAAAGTTTTCTAAGATTAGCATACTGAGCTAATTTCTGTTCAGCTCAATCTCATTAACTGTGTTGGAAGTTGTAATCCTACCTTTGCGTCCACCCTGTTTTGCCATGCGTACAAATTTAGTGTCTGTTTCTTTAAAATAAAGTTTATGTGGATCAGTTGTAAATTCTTCTTGAGGTATTTCACTAAGTCCTGGTATCTGTGAGATGTACGGAGTATCAACAGGTTCTGTAGATTTTGTGTTTCTCTTCGCCGGTGCATGATAAAACCACCCTAAAACAATATCAAAATAAATCTACCTTCTTTTACTACTTACTAGTAGTAAGTTTATACTGCCATTATATTTTTTTTATAACAATCTGAAATAATCTTATACTTATAGTAGCATGTGCCAACCAAAAAAGGGACATAACTCATTTTTCTAAATTCTCTGTCACAAATATGGCATAATTTTTTCGCAAAATGTAGGTCTTGCAATTGATACCAGTTCCATTCAACTCAAAACAGTTAAAGAGGTTGAGGTTGCAGCATATGAGAATTTTGTCACAAATAACAAGGTAAGTCTAATATTTGTTTTTCGCCGATTGAAAAGTTTGAAATTTTGTAACTTTTTTCGTGGAAGATGCGTCGGGGTAAAAAAAACTTTCTAAAATATTGATGAACTATCCTATTCATGTATTTCCATAAGTGGACATAAAAGTAGTGAAAATTCAATTTTTCTGAGTTGTCACGTGGACAATTCCAGGCCAAAGTATACAATTAGGAGAAAAATTTAATTAATTGATAAATGGACAAAAATAGTGTTTTATGGTGAGAAATAATCTATATTTTGAAGGCAAACTTAAAATTGGGCGGAAACTCTTCCGATTTTTTTTTTATTTGGTCTTGTCTCAAGGTTCACATTGTAAATGTCGAATTTATAATTTTATTATATTTTCTTACTTTGTGTTTGTTTGATAATTCTGAATCATAATGAATGATTTGGCATTAGTTATCTGACAATGTATATAAACCTGATATTTATACATTAAAATATGAAAATAATATATTTTTGTGAAAGTAACCAACATTGAAAAAATATCGCTATAATGAGAACGTACTTCCGTTACCAAATATTTACATTTTTTTCTCTCTCATTTATATTTATGTATGGAATTGTTTAAAACTTCATCTAAAATAACCCATTCTTATTATAATGACCATAAAAAGAAAAGATTTGCAAAATTTCTAGGAATAACTTGGGTTTTCATATAGATGTATGTCCGTTACTTTTCAAAGTATTTCATGTTAGCAAATACTGTATTTACATTTTATCTCTCTCATTCATATTTATTTATGGAACTGTTCAAAAACTCATATTAAAAGCTAATATCACCCATTCTTCTTATGACCGAGAAAACATTTGCCCAAGTTCTCTGAATCATTTGGGGTTTCATAGATGTATGCATGTCCGTTACCAAAATGTTAGGGTAAAAATGTACATCCTTTACCAAAATTTTTAGGTCACAATATTTCATGCAAGGAGTAATGTTTTCAGGAAAGTAACTGCTCCATTAATTCAAATGAGTTAATTATTATTATTATCTATCAGTCCCATTACTTAAAAGTTTACATATCTCATGTAATGGGTTAGCAATTTGCACTCGTACGTCCATTACCAGAAAATATGTACGTCCGTTACCACAATAATTTCTAATTTACTGGGCTACAAGAATCCAAATGTGAGAAGTGATCATACAGTACACATCTAGTATTAGTGCCCTTTCTTACAGGGATTAAAACTTTTGAATTCCACAGGACAATTCACAGAGTTTTGCAACTATGTTCATGTAGGCAAATCATAGTGTTCATTTCTGTACGTCTGTTACCTATACTTTGAGGAGCCAATATTTATTTCAGGTGTTCATGAACAAATTAAATCATCTATCAATACTTATAACATTTATGTCTTTAATGCTATATGAAACCCAAACAGTTAATTATTCATGGTTAGATAATATTGGAAGTATTCAAAATATGACGAGTTCAAAATGTACATCCGTTTCGTGGAATTGCCCACCTGGCAAACTTTAAAATTTCTTTATTAATGCATGAAGCATCTTAGTTAATTTTATATTATTAATTTAGTACTTATTACACATACACAGTCCAATCTACTGAAATAACATTCATTTATCAGCAAATATTGACAATAAGGTAAATCAAGCGGTGTTTTTATCAAAATTGATACAGACAAGTTAGTACTTTGATTGGCTGTTGCACATGAGGCCCTGCCTTTATGTGTTAAAGACTTAAATTTAAAGGAGTTAAATCGGTAATATTTTGGAGCTAGAAATTGGCACAAATGGGTCGCAACACATATAATAATATAATAGGGATTTATATAAACTGTTTTACATTCAATCGTTTCTGTTTTACTGCGAATTGTCATCAGTTATGTTCGGCGATATATGCCAGAAGTCTCAACCGAAAATCAGTTTCTAGCGTCTGGTTATTCCAGTCAACATCGATAGTATTTATTATGCATGCTCTACAAATAAGAATATGGCATTACCGTTTGATATGACATGTGGAATATATGTATAGCCTCATTCTTTGAGCACCTTGTACAGTGGTCTGCCCTCTGTTTGCCCCTCCCAATAATTTTAGAAAATATAAAAAAGGATTTGTGATACGTTTCGGTAATCAATACCTTCTGCGGTGAATAAATCCCACATCCCCACTCAGTCATAAACTTCGTTGTTGTAGAGCATTTCTGACAGTTTATTTTTCAAAATTTTCTTGGCGAGGTCCCCAATGGACTTGCTTCTTTGGCGCTCACAAGGGGAATTCGTTGAGGTTCGCAAGTCCGTTCGTTTGACATTTTGTTCTCTAGTCGGATAAACTAGTGATCAGGCGACGGACGGTATCTGGTCAGATCTATTTATCTCGACGATAGGTGCCTGGGAATACTGTAAGACAGCTCGTGAGTGGGCTTCGTCGTGATTCGCAAGTCCGTTCGTTTGACACTTTACCTCATCGATCAGTGTCTGAAATACTGCCAGGCTGCATTTCCGGCAACCTGTTTTTCAAAATTTTCTGGGGGAGGCCCCCTACCCCTAGTTGAAGCTCCTGCCTTTGCCCCCTTAACCTTGGACTTTGCCCCTCCAATCACCACACCAAATGACCAATACTGATTTAAAATGCAGAAAAATTTGTGTTTTCAATGTCGAAGATTTTGGATGATATTGGGTTACGGACTTAGCTACTTTAAAATGTCAGAGAAAGCAATCAGTCTACAATCGCTTCGATTTAAAAAGAGGGGATTTGTACCCGTGTCAGGTAGGATTTTCTGCTTAATTGTAGTTGGATGTGGCAGAAATGTTATAAAATAACAATAATCAAGCATTGTTTTGATGAAAAATATTGTCAATTTTGCTTACTGACGCCCGATGCGACTTGCGTTGGGCTTTGCTACATGGAACTATAACTATAAGCTTATAGGACCATCTCTTATCACCAAACACAGGTTGAGAGATGGGGTTTGTTATCTAGCCTAGACTCTAGTCTAGCTCAAAAATTGATATTGAATTTTTGATTGGGAAGTCTTATTTTTAATTTTAAAGTAATCATTTCATTTCATATTCAATTCCACTGGGCAGCCCACGGTCAAAAGAACAAGCATGACAAAAAATTAAATATTTTGGTCAACTTCATGTCACGAGACAACTGAACAAATTCATTCAACATTTTTATATTCATTACGACATTTATATAATTAGAGGCCTACTACTAATCAAGATCCTACCGGTACTTACCACACTCATTTATGTTTTTATTTGTTGCCATCTTGTTGGTATGATTTTACTCGAATCGTGAACTTGCAGCAGGTAGTCGATAAATAATGGATAGATTCTAATGGAATTTTAAAACGTATTTACAAAATTACAATATTTACATTGACAACATCATGGCGGTTGTAAACGTTGTTATGGTTACTAAACGGAAGTGTTCCCTTATCCCTACTTCCGCCAGTTCAGAAAATCAATCGGAAGTAAACCGAAAGTATCAAAATAGACCGACGTGTTATAAACTTATGGAAGTTAATGCGAATAACGTTTATCATTTTCTACGATATAAATCAATTTAAAGAACAATAAGTGTATCTCTTTGGAGATTATTTAAGATCCGTATGAGGCCTGTCTATACAGATGTTTAAATCGTCAGTCAAATTTGTTTTCTTATCAGTTATTTGCTTGTCATGGAAAACATTTCAAGTTGAAACTCAATGCCAAACTCAAACTCAAGAAGAAATGACTGACACAGTAGAGAAGTATTCGGATTCTGCAATGGCGAACAACGATAAAGAGACTGAAACCTGTAGTTCACAAAATTCGGAAAGGGAATTAGGGCCTGACAGTGAAAAGAATCCTAATTATCCTTTGGCACTCGTGCTTTTTGATGAAAAAAATCTGCTACCTCATCAGAAAAAGTTCCGAAATTTTAGTTTTGTTGGACATCCTATATCTATACAACAGAATTGGGGAGGATTGGGTGTGGCTGCTGTAGTCTGGGAAGCTGTATGTATATTTCTCTGTTGTATTTATGAAAAATGACCTCAAATTTATTCACTTCCAGTGTGGCAATAAGCTGTACGTAGAATGCAAAGCCAATCAACTCGGCTACACAATCTCCTGACCAGTCTGTTTCAGAGCTGTGATGCGAAAGCCTTCCTTTAACTCTGTAGAACTAGAAGATGACTAACCTTTAAATTCACGAGCAGTATGGGTCTGCGTGTAATGTCACATCATATACTGCCTCAATAAGTTAATATTGAGAGTTAATTAACTCGCCTCAATGTCATGCCTTGTGACCCTATGTCAAATTTGAAATCTGTTATAATAAATGCATGTCGACGGTAGTTAGCACTCACTTTTGCATTATGTCCCAACAAATCATCTTATTTTCTGTAGAACAATACATAATGTAATTTATGTAGGATATGGGTGGGCCCACTTCAGTCTTTTTTAAAAAAAGATACAGTTAGCAAGGGTAGGGCCTATAAAGAATTTATAAAATATTTATCAAAATTAAATAAAACATTTTTCACAAAGCATTCATTTGTCTTCCATTCATTTATTCAAAGACAGACCAACTGATTAGTGAATGGATTTTTTGTGTGCCAAGGGAGATAACTCTTGTATAAAAAATAGGGCTCCATATTTTTTACACTTTTAAGTAGTTCTTGTTGCATTTATAAAATAGTAAATTGATTTTATCTTTTACAGGCTGTGGTATTAGGTGAATATTTAGAACAACATCGCCATCTAGTGGAAGGCAAGAGAGTTATAGAACTTGGTTCAGGAACTGGTTTAGCAGGACTTGTTGCAAGTTTTCTAGGTAAGATAACTAGGAGCTCACAGGTATCTGTTATAAACAAAGCTTACAGCGTTATGAAAAGATTTTTAGAATCCATAAGGATTGTACAGTAAAGCTCGCATAAGTCAGATCTTTGCTCGACTCGGATAAAATTGTTTGGACCCTTAGATCCTGCACGTTTTTCTTATTACATCCCACTTCTACTTGTTGCCACTGGAAGACTTTGATAAAACTGTCCTGTTTATTTTCAATACATGCTTAAAAGTATCCGTGTATCAGAAATATACAGAAAGAGTACTGTTCATTTCTGATACACAGATACTTTTATACTGTTTTAGATACCTATCAAGCAATAAGTAGCGGACGTTTAGTCCAATCCAGATCGCAATTGATAAGGATGGCTCTATACAATGCACAAGGTAAATGTACATGAAACAACTAGTCAAAATCATAGTAACAAAACAAATCGGGGGGAACTACATGGCAGTTCAAAAACATATACAATGACATTAAATTAACATAACAACATATTACAAAAATCAATTATTATACATATCAATTGGCATCTATTTCATAATTTGGTTTGATTTATTTAATTTATATTAATATGCAAAATATATAAATTAGAATATTGAAAAATTATTTTAATTAATTGTGATGATAGAAGGTGCAGTTCTTTTGCTAGACACTTCACAGACATTGAAAATAAGCAGGATGAAAAAAAACGCCTAGAAAGTCATAAACTTTATTACAAATAAATTTCAACGGAAGAACCATCCGCCGATGCATACTTTCACCAGAATGACCCATGTTTCGCATTTCCATTACACTACATTTGATAATATCGCAGTCCTCTACGCCATAGACAAGTTGTTTTGACGATGTGGTCTAAACAAACACGTGATTGTTTTACGCTCAGAGTATCATAGCAAGACGCATGTGTAAATACTACTCAGGTCGTCTCTCCACTGCGAAATCATTCTACCATGAAATGTAACGTGAGGCTCAGAAAGGGATAAATGAAAGAGCAGAAAGTATTTGTCACTTTTCGGTTGAAACGACTCGATAATAAATACTATTTTTCACATTTTGCTTCACAATACTCAATAGAAATGTGATGTAAGTAACTTATTAGCACCTTTCCTTGGTGTATCGGTGAATATCAGGACAGTTTTGGTCGGGAGCCGCCTCGGCTGGGCCCCTCGACGAAAACAGTCCTGACTATTACTTAAATTTCTGCGCATAAGTCAGATCTTTGCTCAACTCGGATCAAAATGTTCGGTCCATTCGATCTAATTCCGGCTCTTTTCCTTTGCCTAAGTCGAAGCGGCAGTATTTTCAGAATTTGACTAAGTCAGTTTCGTACCGATGGTCTAAAACGCGGTTAGGTATTCCATACACAGAGCCCCGGAATACTTTCCCCTATCATTTTGACTCCAATCAGCCTATTTGACGCGACGCAATAATAGAATTTTCCCAGGAAAATTTGAAACTCACTGTCTGCTGTACGAGACACTTTCCGGGAAAATTTAGGACATTTTTCAAAGATGGCAACAAAACGGAAGTTATCTACTCGCACCAAACGGAAGTTATCTACTCGCACATACAAACAAAAGCTTGATATGTGCCTTTGAATCAGTTATTATCTGGCTCTTGCAGTTTATTTTTAATCGAGCTAAGATTTTATTTCGGTGTTTGGTTAACTCAGATCTTCGCCTAACTCGGATAAAATTGGTCAGTCCCCTTAGATCCGATGTATGCAAAGTTTACTGTATTTATTTAAAAAAATGGGATTTAACACAAATAGGGAGGAGATCCACAGGATTAGGCAGGTGGCCCAAGTCTTTTACTTGTACATTGAATTGAAACCACAAGAACGAGACATCTGTTTGGATCTTGGTGTACCGGAATGGTTTTAATCACTAGCAATGATGTAATTAAGGTTTGGAAGGACACTTATAACCAAGTTACCAAACTAACAACATGTTATTAACACAGCTCTACTAGAGGTTTAATACTAAGCGATGTTTCAACAAGGATACGCTCTTCTTTATCAAGCAAATGCGTGATAAAGGCGAGAGTATCCTGGTCGAAACGTCACTTAGCATTAAACTCAGTAATTATTTATCCATAAAATTTTACCTTGTGTTAATATGTTCAATTACTAAATGCCTGTCAAAGAAGATCTACTGGAGATGTTTTGGTGGTTCAAGAGATTAAGTCATTTTATTGCAGATTTAGGCGACCACTATGCAACATAATTTGCATAAAATTTATTCTTTTTTTTTTTTGTCATACAGGTGGGAAAGTTACATTAACAGAAAGAGCAGAAGCTTTGGATTTTCTCCGTACAACAATTGAAACCAATTTACCAAAGGATAATAAATTTCAGATTGATATTACCGAGTTAGATTGGACAAAATCACTTGAAAATTTCACTGAACACTATGATGTTATCCTTGGCGCAGACATTATTTATATTAAAGAAACATTCAATGATCTCTACAGGACATTACTTCATTTAACATCCAAAGACACCCATATTTTAATATCGTGTAAAATACGCTATGATAGAGATTCCGACTTTTTAAACATGTTGAAGAAAGATTTTAATCTGGAAGAAATATTTTATGAGAAGAAAAGAGACATTAGAATTTATTCTGTTTATAAAAAAGCATGACAAGAAAATATGCTGTTTTCTTGTTTCTTTTTAAAGAGTTTTGTTTTTAGAATAAAAAATTTGGAAAGAAGTTTTTGTGACTATTTTTGAAAATAAAGACAAAGAGAGAGGGAGAGAAATGGAGTTTAACATCCACTCTGTCATTTCTGGACTAATATATTGTTCAATTTTTTTTCAATAATTCGCTTGCACGTAGGGTAGGGGTCTTTTAGCACTGGAAGGAAACGGGAGAAAACCCACGAGGTTGGATAGGCAACCCTAGTCCTTCTCACATACAAGTTGAAATCGAAAACATGCCAGTTGACTCAATGACAGACCTTATGATACAACGCACACATGCTAACCATTCGGGCCATCCCACCTCCACCCCCGCCTAAATAAAGACAAGAACATCAGATATCAATACACCATTGTGTAACGTGAGAATTTATTCTGTTCATGATAGCCCTCGATAATATTTTTGTCAGATTTGAGGTTGAAATATTTCAGCAAGTAATAGGTACCAACAACTATGCTCTCACTGATTTGTTTCTAAATTGTTACAAGGCTGATTTCATAAAAAAAAAAATGGTAACATGATTTAACCTCACCTGGAGGTATACTGATGGTTTTCTTTTATAAAATACAAGCAATCCTGTATTAGTGGTTAGTTGGATTCTATCTACCAATAATGACAACATGGAGGCAGACCACCATTAAATTTCACCATCTCGGTAGTCGGTACCCACAACTTGTTGTTCGTCTATTTATAGCAATTCTCTCTCTGTCTCTTTTCTCCCCTTTTGCATGCCCATTTTTGATGATTTTTTGGTCTAGAATGGACAACGAGGGTTTGAATTAATATTTTCTGCCAGGTTTTGGTAAATATTCATGATTTTGAGGCAGAAAGATAACAGAGTTATCAGGTTGGCTACAGTGATATGTACGGCAACTAGTTACATGTTTTTTTTCGTAGGCTTCTTCAAGTTTGTGTATCTCAAAATTTTGGTGGTCAACCTCATAAAAATTTTAGTGCAAAGACATGACCATTTGTTCCTCTGTCTGTAGTGAAAAGCTTTCAGCCCAACGAAAATTTGGGGGAAAAGTTGGAGGTGGGCAAAGAGGCCAGAATTAACATTTAAGTCAATGGGGAAATTAATGGTGGTCTGCCTCCACATGTGGCACTGATTGTCTCCCTTGCATCAGTTGTCTTTCGCAATTTTCCTATGGTATAAAGTATACCGCAACCTTATTAAAGATACATTATGTAGGATTTAGATCAAGAACAGGCCGTTCTTGCTATTATAGTTAAAAAAAAAATAATGCAAAATGATTGCAAATTTCATTCAAATTACTTTATTCTAAGCAAAGTTATCAATGTTTGTAGTTTTGATAAGATTTGTGCATTGATTGTTTATTTTTGTAGGCACGGTGCTGCTTATTTGAGGCCTAGACACACTTCTCCATTTTCAAAATTAAATCATTAAATGGCCGAACCCTACTAATCTACTTAAAATCAGAGCCATCTGGTTTTGCCATGTTAATAAATGATTAATTAATAATGTAGATAACATATAAGGGCAAATGAAAGACCTGCAATAGACAGATTTAGCTCTTGAATAATGTATGTTTAATTTATATTGATTTTAATCACACAGCAAGGATGTTGACCGTGGATATTCTTAATACAAGAATTATAAGGAATCACTACAGTTACTTGAAGAATCATCAGTACATAGTTTCTTAGACAGTTTATTGTTACAATGGTCCTCTGGTTTCCTCCCACTGCTAAAGACCCCTACACGCAAGCGAATTATTGAAATAAAATTAAACCATATGTTAGTCCCAAAATGACCAAGTTTGTGTCGAGTGGACGTTAAACCCCATTTCTTTCTTTCTTTCTTTATTGTTACAATGCAAGGTGGCAGAATTTAGCCTGGAAAGCTCAACGCTTTTCCTCCACTTCCAACTGTCATGGGCACACCATCCAGGACAGGCGTAAGTAATAGAAACAGACATTGCTGAAATTCAATAGGCATTTTCATGCACACCAATCAGGGCAGGAGGAAGTATTAGAACTGAAATTCAATAGGCTATTTCATTCTACTTATATAATTAATGCATATAAATTTAATACAGATCGGATGATGACTACACAAGGGGTTCAACAAAGTGAAAGAGGGCCGTAACTCTAGAAATAATCAATGGAAATTGCTAAAATTCAGTAGGCTTCTTCATTGTACTATTTCACACCATGCAGATAAATTTCATACAGATTGGATGATCAGTCTTGTCACTGAAGCTATCACAAAGTTCTAGAAGTTTTAAATGGCAATTGTTGAAATCCAATTGGCGTCCTCGAGCATTCAAAAGGTTGTGAAACAAGAACCATAACTCCAGAAGTTATTAACGAAAATTGATGAAATCATGCATGCTTCGTCGTCTCACTAATGCAAACAACATATATAAATTCTAAAAATGTCTGATGATGAATGTAATCTGTAGAGTGTTCACAAGAAATTGTGGACGTTAGACAACAATATATGACCAAATTTCCATTTGGGCATATAAAAATTACTTGGCAATAAAGTGAAGTTTTAGTCCACAGAAAACATAGATATACAGTTTAAAGTTCCCTAAAACATATCACTTTTTTATTAACTTTCCATAACTGAAAGCCACAATGGCACAGTGAATAAGAGAGAGAGAGAAATGGGGTTTAACGTCCACTCAACGCAAACTAGGTATGGTTTAATTTTATTTCAATAGTTTGCTTGCGCATAGGGAGTCTTTAGCAGTGGGAGGACCCGGAGAAAACCCACGAGGTTGGACAGGTGACCCTATTCCTTGTCACGTACAAATGGGGATTCGAAACCACGCCAGCTGACTCAATAACAGGCCTTATGATACAGAGCGCACGTGGTAACCATAAGATGTTAGCTAGCTAACTTGTAGGTCCTGTGTTCTATTCATTCGTTGGCCGAGAAAGTTCATCAGGATTTTCCCCTGTGGTGTCCCTCACAGCGCACTGTATGGCATATGCGCACTGTATGGCATATGCCCGTCCCCATTAGCACAGTTGGAGCAGAACAGTAGGACGTTAAACACCTGTTTCATTTCATGATCGAAACGACCAACCTTCTTTCAACACAGATCGTTTTCACGAACACATCTTTAAGATATAAATAATGACACAATTATGCGATTTATTTATTATAATAATTATTAATAATAGGTTGTATTAAGAGTTACATAAATAACTATCACAATTATATGCTGTGAGTATTAATTAATAACACATTTAATACATTTGTAACAACTTTATACTGTGACAAAAACATTGCATATACCATCCTTAATAAACTTAGTTCATATATATATTGATACAATTATATAAACTTAGTTCATATTTGATACAATTATATAAACTTAGTTCATATTTGATACAATTATATAAACTTAGTTCATATTTGATACAATTATACCATCTTTAATAAACTTAGTTCATATTTGATACAATTATACCAACTTCTATAAACTTAGTTCATGTTTCATACAATTATACCAACTTCTATAAACTTAGTTCATGTTTCATACAATTGTACCAACTTCTCTGAATTACAAATTTAATACAATTATATCATCTTTAATAAACGTAGTTCATATTTGATACAATTATACCAACTTCCACAAACTTAGTTCATTTGATACAATTATACCAATTTCTATAAAGTTAGTTCATATTTAATACTATAAACTTAGTTTATGTTTGATACAATTATACCAACTTTAATAAACTGCAAATTTAATACAATTATATCAACTTCTATAAAATTGGATCAAATTGATACAATTATACCAACTTCTATCAACTTAGTTCATGTTTGATACAATTATACCAACTTCTATAAACTTAGTTCATGTTTGATACAATTGTACCAACTTCTCTAAACTACAAATTTAATACAATTATATCATCTTTTCTAAATTTCACATTTGATATGATTATATAATATTATATCAACTTTGAAACGAATGTACATGTATCATTAACATGGTATGATTATACATGTACCATTTTCTATTGACTAAATTCTTTTGTCACGAACATCACAGCCATTTCATCTTAACATTCCAATATAATTATCTTTTCATCTTAACATTCCAATATAATTATCTTTTAATAGGTCTATGTGTGTATCATCACCAGGTAAGTGAAATGGTTAATTGTTACTTGTTTGTGTAGGTATATACTTCACAAGATTGAATCATGAATAGTAGAATGTCTTTAATTTCATTTCAGAGGGAACAATGAATGTCATGACAAAGGGGAGATAACCCTGTTACTTTTTTTTTTATTATACTCCCACATTCAAGATTAACTTTCCCTCACCCCACCTAATTGATAACAGATTAAGTATCAGGAATGATTGGCTCCGTTTGCAATAAAAAATTTATTGGGAATTGATGTAAGTTACATGTATACAAAGCATTCTTATAGTTTCATGAGAATTTTAATTATTTTATTGATGAGATTGCAAAATCAGTTTAATATTCAATTACTGTAATCTATTGAAATTGAAAGATACATTGACAAATACAGTATTAATTATATTGCCGGTACAAATGTAAGAATTTAAAACCTTGCATGATGTTTAATGCATGTCAAATTTGGCAAATGCATATATATAAAGTAATACTTAATTGGTTCATGTGGTAACAACTGTATGAACATGTGCGTATCTGGGAGACAAAAATCGAAGAAACAACTCATATGACTTCTTTCAATTGCAATTTTCAGATAAAAATAAAACTAATGAATCAAGGTATCTGCATGTGTGTGTAAATTACAAAAAAAAGGAAGAATACGAGTGCGAACCAGGATCCCACCATGACATCATGGCAGCCATCTTGGAATGGTGATGTTAACATCAACAAAATATTGTTTAAACCAATACTTAGCAAATCTCTGCAGATTCCGTTACTCTACATTTAGCCTCGGCTGCATGACGGTAAGTGATATGTACCTAAGCAAATACAATTGCGATCCGGCACAGGTTTACTTATTAGGAAAACTTGCCCTTTTACAAAGAAGTTATCAAAATTGCGTCATTGGAAGCGTGTTTAGAATTTTCAGTGCAAGTTGTCCTTGTTTGAAGAAAATCCGATAACCTTGAAAGAAAAACAGCTTCAGACTTTGAAATATTTGTATGATAAAACATTCATCAAAGGTTTTGTCATGGGCAACGCCGTTAGTAATCCAGGAACTTGAAAGTAGTTTCAATGGCGGACTTCGTCATACAGCCGAGGCTAGATGTAGGGTATTGGAATCTGCTGAGGTTTGCCGAGTTGTCACATCAAGACCAACAAGAACAAGACAACCATGTTTATGGAACCAGTTCCAGGTTAAAATATCTCACTTGTATTTTAAATACGGCACTGCTCACAGTCTATTTGTCATCTCGCGGACAATCTTAAAATTCAATAAATTGTCAAGTTTGAAACTCCTGTATTCTAACCAAAGCGTAACTTTTCTTCAGAATGAAAATGATGGCAGTAATGTTACAACACTCCACCAGATGAGAATATGAAAACTTTGTGTAAACATTTCAGTTTTTCAATGACCTGTGAGGAGTTTTCACAAATTTGGTAAACAAGCTGTCAAGGGGGCGTGATTATCTTTACTCATAGGAAAGGTTCATTTCCAAGATGTCTGTTGATAAAAGTGGATTTAAGTTAACAAATCAAGCACCATACACCATAGTGTGGAATAATGTTGATAACTTTGCTTAGAAACCAGTAACTTGACTGAAATTTTTAATATATTCATTTTTCATCATCTATTTTTGAACTGTTATAGTAAGAACGACCAGCTCTTTATCTAAAGCTTACATTAAATATCTTTAAGAAATTTCATTAGTAAATTGTATGAGTGAATTGATAATTGCCATTACATATAACTATAGGCATGTATAAACATGTAGATCATACAGGTCATAGTATTTTGGGAGTGACAGAATTAACCAGTTTTATCTACTAAAATACATCTGAAACAGTTTAATTAACACCACATAATTCTCACTTATAGCACCAATCAAAGCACCTGTTAATTTTCAATGGATCTGGGCACCTGGGTTGATCTTAACAAGACTATAGCACTCTTATCAAGGAATAAAAAAAGGGAATTAGATTTTAACAATACTCAAATTAACCTTTATGTTCAGATTTTTGTCAGAATTCAAAGAACCGATTTATATATAAAGTATGACTATTCTCATTAGCATCTGTTAACCCTTGTGTGTGTATACAAGGGGTATTTTGGGACCCCATGACCATATCCTTAACATTTGTGAGGAACTGGTTCATACATGTAATTGTCTTGCGAGTTTTTATACATTGTCAGCTACTGACAACAAATCTAGGTACACTACCGACCCCGTCAAAAGATGATTCTACATCGAAATGACAATTAAGTTATTTGCAGATTTTTATGGTTTCAAAAAATACCTGATAATTCATATCTTCACTGTTAATACCTCAAATATTTTTTTTTACTTTTATTGATTATTATTCAGTCTTTATATGAAGCTGTAGTTTGATTGTATTTGAATAAAATTATGCATCCAAAAATCAATTTATGTCTAGGGTCGCAGAATACCCCTTGTTGCCGACAATGTTTTTCGTGCGACATGTCCGCACAAGCGTTAAGATCCAGAAGGATCGCCCCCAAAAAAACAATTGCACATTTAATAAATTGCAAGTTGTTAAAATGTTTGTATCTCAACAATGGCTAGACAGATTTGTCTCATATTTTACATTCAATTTAAATTGAACAAACCACTTAACAATTCACTCCTTTAAAAAAAACATTTTTTCGCTACATCAGTAAGCCTATGCAAGCCTGGAAATAAGGCACCTGTCACAGACAATGTCAAGCACAGATTCAGGCTTTGTCAGGCACAAAACCTCTGGTGCCTGTCATTTTGTCCAGCACTGATTTGTGTTTTTTGTTGATATTATTAATACATGTCTGGCACTAAGTTGAAAATGTCAGGTAGTATTTCATTAGTGCCTGACATTTTGTCAGGTATATATATGTAAAATCGTTATTTCCACACCTGTGACAGTACGACTTGGAATAGAGGTCATAATACTGTGAACACCGCCCCAACTAACTACAAACCAACCTGATAAGAGCACGCTTAAGTAAAATCATATAGAGAAAGAGAGAGAGAAATGGGGTTTAACGTCCACTCGACACAAACTAGATCATTTCGGGACTAACACATGGTTCAATTTTATTTCAATAATTCACTTGCGCGTAGGGGTTTTTAGCAGTGGGAGGAAACCGGAGGACCCGGAGAAAACCCACGAGGTTGGACAGGCGACCCTACTCCTTGTCACGTACAACTGGGGATTCGAAACCACACCAGTCGACTCAATGACAGACTTTGTAAAATCATATAAAAACAGGTTAAGATAAAGGCAGAAATGTATAAAATGCTTGTAATCAAATTAATTAAAAACAATTAATAAAAGTTGGATATGTAGAGCGTTATCACAGTTTAGTAAGTTCTTCATCTTCGTTGATTAGGATTCCATCTTTAAAACGTTTGGTTTCTTTGACAGTTTTTGGTATAACGTCATCACATGGTTCGTCACATGACTGATCATGTGATCCTTCGAGTGACGAATAGCATGACTCAACACTCAATTGTCCTGAGGACAGGTCATGTGACCCATTTTCGTCATCTTCCACTAAACAATCCATTGATTGGCTAACTTCATCATCTGACTCTTCTTCCTCAATTGGTGTGATTACATTTGATTGGTCAACAATCAGATCACATGACTCATCATCTTCAGTCTGTACCGACACATTTGCTTGGTCAATTTCTTGATCATGTGATATTTTTTTCATATTTTGCGATTCATCAACAGTTTCGATGTCTGATGTATCTGCCTTGATTTCTAACGCTATATCTGATTGGTCAACAATCGTGTCACATGATTCGATCTGTTCAAAAGAACTGTTACTAACAGAATCATCTTCAGAAAAAGTCAGTAATTTTCCGCCGAGTTGGAAATTGGAATGTAGAGGCAGACTGTATTCAGAGGCACTGTCCACATTATCAATCGTTCTAGAAGAAGTGTTTAGGGTCAAATCGACGGAACTCGAAGTTAAAAATGCACCACTTTCGCTGTCGGACAAACTATCATTAAAACTGTTATTTACAGATAAATCACTTGACGAATCGTAATTTCCTGCATATTTTCTCCGATCACGGACATGGTTTGGTATGTTGCGTAGGGACATAGAATTTCCGAGAACACTGAATCGATCCCAGTCACTGGAAATGGTTGATCTGATACTCCTGGTGCTACGAACACTGTTTCTTAATTCTTCCACTCGAGTTAAACCACATCCTTTAAAAATAAAACAGATGAAATCATAAATCAAATTAATGGAGGAACAAGTTAAAACAACACAACACATCCACATCACACATTTGGGGACTAACACTTGGATTAATTTTATTTCAATAATTCATTTCTGTTTCCTTAGAGATTATTTTTAAATGTTTTATTTATTACCTTTTGAAGAAGAAGAGGGTACCTCTTCGAAATGTTGGTCTAACAATATCTGACGATGAAAACGGTGTTAGTGTCTCTTTAGTTTATCTACTTAAATAATTCAATAAGTAGAGAGAGAGAGAAATGGGGTTTAACGTCCATTCGGCGCAAACTAGGTCATTTTGGAACTAACACATGGTTCAATTTAATATCAATAATTTGCTAGGACCTAGGGATTGATAACAGTGGGAGGAACCGGAGGACCCAGAGAAAACCCACAAGGTTGACGGCGACCCTACTCCTTGTCACATACAAGCGGGGAATTGAAACCACACAACTTGACTCAATGACAGACTTGGTGATCCAAAGCGCACGTGTTAACTATTCGGCCACCAAACTGAAATATTGAAATGGGATTGGTCAGCCAACCCTACTCTTTTTTTTAAGTAAGAGGGTAGGTTCGAACCATGTCACTTGACTCAATGATAGACCTTACGTATTAAAACACCATCCAACCACCCTTATAACGAAACAGGACATAAATAAGTATTTACTTTTTAACACAGCATTTTCTTTTATTTTCAATTCTTGTAGTTGGGTCAGTTTCGCTGATAATACTTGCTAAAAATAGAATCATATTATTCACATTAAAAAAAAGGGTTTTTGTATTCCATGTTATATATTTTACTAGATTCAATTTTACTGGTTTTGTGCTGGAGGATCACATATAACATCTGAGAAATTTATCAATGTTCTCAGTTGTGTACAGTAAACAGCCAATGAAAAGATATCATTTAGTGATCTATTTATAAACTCAAGTCTTTAAATGGGCTCTTAAGTCTTGTCAACATAGGCTAAGCCTGTTTCCCAATCCCATTCAGACATCCTGAATAAAAATACTTTGGTCATTTCGAGAATGAAATATGGCACTTTTCACTTCAATGGTTATGTGTGCCCAGGAAAATAGCACTTCAGCACACTTTTCTTCGATTTCCAACTGTCATCAGTCATTTTACATGCACATCAATTTGTACACTTTCATCCCATCTGAATGATTAGGGACTCTTTCTTTGTTGAGAAGCTTCATGTGAGTTTTTAATATCTTTTTACCTTTAATTTGATGAATTTTTCATAGAGTTCAACTTTCCGACAACAATCTTCAAATAGTACCACCAATCTAACAAAATATAACAATAGTTTAAATAGGACTGTTTTTCTCCACCCTTAAAGATTTTGGATTTGTTTTCTTTCATTTGTTTTGATATTATCGTTGACTAAGATGTTTTTGTTTTGATATTATCATTGTCTAAGATGTTTCTTGTTTTGAAATTTGTTTTACATTGTATGCAAAAAGTCAAAAATGTGACTTAGATCGTTCTTCCCCTGAGCTCTTCAAATATAATTTGTATATGTAGAAAATAGTGGAAACAGATTGCTTTATTTACTAACCTCATAGAATCCCCAACTTTGCGTATTTTATCCACGAGTTGCTGATGTGTGGCTCCCTCTACTGGTTCACCATTTATAGATAGAAATATATCACCTGATAATAAATATTCACACCTTTAACCAAGTTCATACAATACAAAAACAAAATAAAAGGAAAGAAAGTTGGGCATGACAGATCAATCGGGGTGTGATTATAGCTGTGTCTGACTGGATAGACTGGCTTTGATTCATCTCAACCACTAGTTGATCCTCAGAAGCATCAGGTTCTTCGGATAAATTCATAATTTCCTCATAATTCTCCCTAAAATCAGGACTTTCTGACTTGATAAGGAAATGAAATTGGGTTGAATGTCCTACTGCTCTGCTCCAACTCAGGGTAATGAAGACGGTGATCAGGAAATTAAACATTTACCATCAAATTTATTATAAGAGAGAGCGTGAGAAATGGGGTTTAATGTCCACTCAACACAAACTAGGTCATTTTGGGACTAAGATATGGTTCAATTTTATTTCAATAAATCGCTTGCGTGTAAGGGTCTTTAGCAGTGGGAGGAAACCGGAGGACCCGGAGAAAACCCACGAGGTTGGACAGGCGAACCTACTCCTTGTCATGTACAACCGGAGAATCGAAACCATGCCAGTTGACTCAATGACACACCTTATGATACAACATGCTCGCACTAACCATTTGAGAAATAAGAGGGGTTCGAAGTATGATAAAGCGTGCATGTGCTAACCATTCGGCCATCCAACCCCAAAAATTCATTATAAAGAAGACATATGTAGTTTCACTGGTGTTCAACTAACCTCTTTGTAGTCCAGCTAACCAGGCTGGTCCGTTATATTCCACATAATCAACATAGGTCATGACCTCAATCTCATTACTACGTTTATTACGCACCCCATACGTCTGAAGAAATATATTTGGTTGATATATATATATGATCAAAATGTCGTAGTCCAGGGTACTAGGCTTTCAATTCAGTCTTGATTGGCAAATTGTGTGGTATAGCCATAATAATTAGGGAGAGGAAGAGGGAAATGGGGTTTAACGCCCACTTAACACAAACTAGATCATTTCAGAACTAACACATGGTTCAATGGTATTTCAATAATTTGCTTGTGTATATATGGCTCTTGGGTCCAACCCTAACCCTAGCTGTGGAAGGAATACTGAGAAGCCGAAAAAACCCACACAGTTGGATAGGCCACTAAACTCCTTGTCAAGTACAAGCGGGAAATCAAAACCATGCCACTTAACTCAATGACAGACCTTATGATTTTAATCCACCCATTCGCGCATCCCCAACCGATTTCTTCAGGATAAAAGTATATGTAAAATGTGAAGCCCATTTTATTCTATTTTATTACCTGTAAAGCGAAGCCCCACGATTCATTTCTTTTAATTAATTTTATTGTCCGTCTCTTCCTTGTATCGTCTGGATCAGTTCGTATTGCCCGATCTTTCTCTAAATGTTCCAGATCATCTCCAACTGAACCTTTTAACATCAGCGGCTGAAAAACAAACAAAAAATATTTGGAATAGTTGCCTACATGTTTTTCATCTTCACTATATTTTGAACAGTTGTCTACATGTTTCACATCTTCACGATATTTTGAATAGATGTCTATGTTTTGTACATCTTCATGATGTCAAGGCATCTTAACACGCATCGGATGTAAAATAGGATTGAATTGAGATCAACGTCTTGTCAATACATTATTGTGGTTATATGTTTATTTTGGGACAAACATGGTTATTTTGGGGCTAACATGTGGTTATTTTGGGACTAACATGTGGTTATTTATCGTTATTTTGGGACTAACATGTGGTTATTTTGGGACTAATATGTGGTTATTTTGGGACGAACATGTGGTTATTTTGGGATTAACATGTGGTTATTTATGGTTATTTTGGGACTAACATGTGGTTATTTTGGGACTAACATATGGTTATTTTTTCTATAATCACATGTCTAATGCTAGGTGAGAAGAATTTTGCATTCTCTTCACTGGACCACATTGAAGCCTCCATCAAGTTTAATAATTCAATATCATTATTTCAAGAAGTTACTGACATTTTTAAATCATAAATGTACGTTAGTCTTAGTATATCTTATAGAAGTCAAGCCATCTGAGTCTCCTGTATCAATTTTAAGGGTTATCCAAAGTCAACTACTACAGGAAACAGTCCTTCACGTTTAAAGTGTGGTTTTGCTACTGCACCTCTTGACTTTCCTTAGGGGGAGTCATTAAATCACTATCCTAAATACTGAGATTAATAAACTACTTTCAGTTTTGTATATTTTTAAACTGCATATATTTGAGTACATTAACTTCCTCATTAATGCTATCAGCGTTTCCATGGTAAATCTGAGGCTACCTTCATCAAACATATCGACCCTCGTTTTCATTTTGATGTCGAGAGCTTTTTGCTAATTTTTGAAATTGGCGGGAGCCTTTTATTGTTACCGCACAATATCATTAAGGTGAAGGACTGCTGGAAAGAGTGACTGCTGTTTCTCACTTTCCGCAACTTTGGTCACCACAAGACAATAAAGACATACTGATACCATATTTTAGTTTACAGGTGACAATTCTATGGAATACAATTACTGCTTATTACTGAGCGACGTTTCGGCTAGTCTTCTCTAGTCATTATCATTGCTTCCATAGAATTGTGACCTGTGTACTCCAGTTCAATTACTAAGTGCCATTGAAACAGCATATTTTAGTTACGAAATGTCTGTTTTGCATTGAGTTGATTGAATGGATGCTAATCTTCAGATCTCTCTCTGTTTCTGTAAATAAACTGTAATGAAACCCTAATTATGACCATTTCTTACCCCATATACAGATGAGTAGCCATTCAAATTTATCCAAAACTGTTCCACAGTCGTGTTGACCATTTCATAAAACATTTTTAAAGTCAATCCTTTTATATATTTATATATTATAGTAGTCTAGCTAGCTATATCCCTTTTATGCATTGCTTTCAGGTTTCAAAAACACACATACGATATTCACTGTTCTTTGTATGTACGTTTTAAACGAAAAATGTCTCTGGTTATAAACAATAACAGAACAAGTAAACAACTGTTGACACAATAACACTTCATTCGTCTCCTCTCAGAAATTCTTTTAATAGATCAGGTAATGAAGGAAAACTGCACTATAAAACAAAGACATAACAAATGATACAGAAACACATTCTCATGTACATGTAGAAGGATGGATAGATGTTTTGGTCACAGGTTTTAAACCTTAATGCTTAACCCTAACCTCTGTGACCCAAACATCCTTGATCAAAATAGCCTACAGAATTATAACATTGAAACTAAAAAAACAAAAAATGAAAACTAGACTATAAAACTTAGTATAAAACAGGAGGACCACACCACATACAAACAGTACCCACAAGACAAAATAAAATGGGGTTTAACATCCTACTTTTCTGGGCTAATAAAGACAGGAAAAAACATACACAAATTCCCATAGAATGATGAAAGAAGTTTCAGGTTACACAGATTTTAAACTCCCTAACCAGTTGTCTCGTATTTAACCTCTGTGACCAACACATCCTACAAACTTATAACATTGTAACTGAATAAACAAAAAACTGAAAATCATACTTGATATTTCATAATTAAATATTTATCTTGTCTCCTGTCGAACAACTCATAACTCAAACATTTTTTTGAAAAAATCTGATAAAATCATGTTTCAGAGTTTATATAAACAAATAAACAAACAATTAATTTACTGCTTTAAAATCAGTAGCCAATAATTGGTCTTCTTTTCTTTAATCCTAATTTCATTCGATTCTAATCTACTTTAGATTAGTGGTCATTAAAGAAATATAATCCTTTTATAAGACATACAGATTTCACAAATTAAAAACACTTATATGGCACTTGGCAAACCTCGGCAGATTCTGTTACTCTACATCTAGCCTCGGCTGTATGACAAAGTCCACCATTGGAACTACAACGTCTTTGAAGAATGTTTTATTATACAAATATTTCAAAGTCTGGAGCTATTTTTCTTTCAAGTTTATCTGATTTTCTTCAAACAAGGACAACGTTGCACTGAAAATTCTACTGTAGGGTACTGGAATCTACTGAGGTTTGCCGAGTGACTTATATGGATTTGCTTGATAACGATATCTGTATGTGTATCGAAACGTAGCATGTTAATAAATTCAGAAGTAGTATATCCATATAAGTGTTTTTAATTTATTAAAGAAATAATATAGTTGTTTAGCTTTATATTCAATTTTCATTTTTTCTATTACGATTAAAGATACATTATGGAATATCAGATAAAGAGCAGGCAGTTCTCAATATAATAGTTAAAAACTAGATAATGTTAAGGAAATATGTTGTAAATTTCACTTTTCAGTCAAATTGCTCCACTCCGAACCTACATTGTAGATATTAGCGATTGATTTTTAGACCTAGTCTCGGTCATCATTACTAAAGTTGGTACGATAAAAAACATAGTCTTGATTATCCATTTTTTGATTTAATCATTATTGAGCGTTGAGCAGCAGTGCGGATTCAAATCCAGTGACAATCTGACATGTAAGATGACATCTAATTGATAGTTTATATAACATTTCAGGCCTAAAGAAAGACCTCCAATAGGCAGATTTAGCTTTTTCATAATGTATCTTTAACAGTCATTAAACAAATAAAAGAACAAATTAAAGAATAAAAACTCTAGATATGGTCGAGCAGAGTTGCCTATCTAATGTATAATTAGGATCTTTTGTATTTTAATAATAAACCATTTATGATGAACAGAGTCCAATTAACGATCCACATGTAAATTCCGATTTAATATCAACAAAGTCAAATTAAACATCACAATGTCTAATCAACCAATTCATTATTTCTAGTTGATTCAAGGGGGGTTAAAAGATTAATTGATTAATGTTTTATGAATGTTGATTGATGGCCCATTGTCCAGATTTATCAAATTAATTCTTACAATTATTGGTTTATAAAATTATAACTGTGTTTTACCATAATTATACAAGGTTTAGTTTATTACATGTAAATCAACAAATGTCAATCAAAGACGAAGGAAGATTTATCTAAATTCCAAAAGTACAATCAAATTTAATGATCAAGACATTAACTTTCTAGCACACAGAATGCCGCCTAAATCCAGGGCTCGAGTCACATGAATGGCTAAGAACTATTATACGGTCCTACATGTACAATACGGAGAGCTATTCAAATATTCACATAACTAGGGCTAGAGTTACATGAGTAGTCATGGCACCCTCGAGATCTAGTATAGGGTCCTCTAGAATATGGAGAGCTATTCACATATTGATTATGTCAACATTAATATGTACCACACATCTTGAAAATTAATGTTATTTTGTAAGATATTTAACCAGATATTGGAAAGCATCACAATGTGAAATGTTTGTTGTAACTTCCATACTCATGCTTGTAGATATAGTTGTGAATAAACTATTATTATCATTATTATTATTATTCACATACGGTACATGTTACTATGGCTGAAGTCACATGAGTAGCCACAGCACCAGACCCCAAACCCGGAAAAAAAAAGCTGCCGACCATAGCTCTAAAATACCTACTGTAGACTGTGCCCCCCTAAAACCTTCACTGCCCCTCCGCACAGCCTCCACAGCACCCTTGAGACTACAAGTAGAATACCAAGAGATCTTCACATAACTTGTGTGGTTTGATTTAGTCTAAGAAAGAGTATGATAGTTTCAAATGGTTTCTGTCACTACAGTAATGTACCGGCATGAATTATAAAACTTTTTTCAGTTTTCTTCAAAGAACAAGGCATACTGTCTACCATTAGCTCTTTTTAAGAAGAGATGCCAAGAAAATTGACAGACATTTTAATTCCTACTTCAACAATTTTAGTCAAAAACAGTTTGAGTAGTATTTTTTTTACACTTTCATTTTCATATGAAATGAAATGAGGTTTAACGTCCTACTGTTCTGCTCCTATTAGGCTAATGAAGACGGGCATACGCCATACAGTGTGCTATGAGGGAAATTTTGCCCAGACAGCGGCACTATGGCCTACTCTTAAATCGAATTCCCAAGTTTCATCACTCTTAATTGGAAGGGGGGTTGGATGGCTGAATGGTTAGCGTGCGCGCGCTGTATCATAAAGTCTGTCATTGAGTCGACTGGCGTGGTTTCGAATCCCCGGTTGTACGTGGCAAGGAGTAGGGTCGCCTGTCCAACCTCGTGGGTTTTCTCTGGGTCCTCCGGTTTCCTCCAACTGCTAAAGACCCCTACGCGCAAGCGAATTATGTAAATAAAATTAAACCATATGTTAGTCCCGAAATGACCTAGTTTGTGTCGAGTGGACGTTAAACCCCATTTCTCTCTCACTCTCTTATAATTGTTATCATGTCCCAAAGTTTTGACCAATTACATTAGAAGTAAAGTTATTACAGACAACTGTGTAGCTGTATGCTGAAAATGCTCATCACTGAACTCAGTCAAAACATTCCCTTAACGAACATTTACACCAAGTTTGAATATTCTTACTCAGAAACAAGATCATGCAGTCTAGTGTTTTAAATATTAATGGTGTTTCCAGCCAACAGCTTATAATACCCGATACATGTATTTATCCATGAATTGTTTCAGTGTAAAAACAACAATCTTTAAACACAAAATATAGTCCTACACTTTCTGCTTTAAATATGCATATCTGTACTGTGAATTATAGGCCTACACTGTTGTAAATATGCACTGTCCCTACTGTGAATTATAGGCCTACACTGTTGTAAATATGCACTGTCTCTACTGTGAATTATAGGCCTACACTGTTGTAAATATGCACTGTCTCTACTGTGAATTATAGGCCTACACTGTAGTAAATATGCACTATCTCTACTGTGAATTATAGGCCTAGTCTGTAGTAAGTATGCACTGTCTCTACTGTGAATTATAGGCCTAGAATGTCTGTAGTAAATATGCACTGTCTACTGTGAATTATAGGCCTAGAATGTCTGTAGTAAATATGAACTGTCTCTACTGTGAAATAAAACATTACTGTCTCAACTACTGTGAAATATTACATTATAACATCTTATTGCATGTAAATACAGAACTCCCTACACTATATATCCCAATTATAATATTAAAACATCTCATTACACCACATATACCAATTATAATGTTAAAACATTACACTATATATCCCAATTAACATACATAATAAACCCAGACAGTCTGTGAGTTATAAACATTAAAACTTCTAATTACACAATATCCACAGAAAAACATTCATAAACCCATGTTTCGCTAAATACGACATACAACAAAACAAATCCCAATAAAAGTTCATACATGTACAAACACCATAACATATAGCAATAAACATACATAAATCCACACTTTTCTAAAAAAAATGACATACACCCACACCAGGTGAGAAGGACGCGAGATGAAATGACGTGTTTAACCAGGTAAAATACAGGTAGATAAAAGCTTGTTAGCAAGTTGGCTAAGTAATTACAGGTGTAGTACGTCATTAAGGTAACCTGTGGTTATCGACGTCTACAAACCCATCAATCAAACTTTAATTATATCACCCTAAAATAAATCAAAACCATTTTACCTGACTTTACAGGTAAATAAACTTGATGAGCTAAACTGTTTTAAACCTAGCCAACACATTACATAGGCCATTTTTAGACCAACATATTGGTAACAAGCAGTTGCCATGCAACATATGCCCACATTTTGCAAGAGATGGACAGAGGGGGGGAGGGGTGTCAGTCCCTCCAAGTGACACCAGGTAATATTGGGCTGTGTGGAACATGCTAGAGTTGATTTGTATCATATCTGACCCACAGTGTATGTTTGAGACTGGTTAAGCAGTAAGAGTATGATTATTACGTTGATATTTTGTCACTTGCTAGGGGACACAAAAACTCAAAGGGGTGCAAAAACTCAAAACCATGACTCAAAGCACGTCATTGCGTCCCTCTCACTTAACTCCTGATGTTCATACATTCTGTACCAACCGGTCTAATGAAGGCGGGCAGGAATCAATCCCTGCATTGGTCAAGAAAGTACATACAGATTTTTCGGCGTGCTCAGTGTCGTGTATGCACATTGGCATGCACGTAAAAGATCCCTAGACTGTTGGAATTCGATATAAGAGTAAGCCGTAGTGCCGCTGTCCAGGCAAAAATTTCCCACACAGCACACGGTATGGCGTATGTCCGTCTTCATTAGCCCAGTTCGGAGCTGAACAGTAGGACGTTAAACCCCATTTTATTTCACTGATGGAAAATTTTGACGTTATGTATAGTGCTGATGTGGTCTAGTCCTCATACCATTCCCCCACTATTCTATTCTATTTTGCTCGACTACTGAAGTTATATATTTAGTCTCTTGCAGCATGGAAAACAAAAACCAACAAAAAAAAAAACAATTCAAGGTAAGTATAAGTGAATAAGTATATGTCAGGTTTCTTATTGTTAATAATATACGCTTATTATATTATATAAATAAAAGATGTTGACACGTTTGTTTTATGATGTAGGATGCCTGGTAAAAAGTTGAAGAATTAAAAAGGTCATGTACAGTTTAACATTTAATATATTTATGTCTATGTTATGCAGGTCATAAATATAAATATATAAACAAATAAATAACAAACTCAAATGTGAGACAAAAATGAAATGAAATGAAATGGGGTTTAACGTCTTACTGTTCTGCTCCGACTGGGCTAATGAAGACGGGCATACGCCATACAATGTGCTATGAGGGAATTTTTTCCTGGGCAGCAGCACTATATCGAATTCCAACTGCCCTTGATATTTTAGTGTATTCCAATGTATACATACACAGGTCTTCGGTTTCTCGTCCCATCCGAGTGACTAGACAACTGTCCTTGTCAGGCCCTCTGTTCTGCACCACTGAAAAGGGGAAACCACACCAGAAAATCTTAATGAACTTTCTCGGCCAATGCAGGGATTGAACACGCAACCTCTGGACTAGCGAGCCAGCGTCTTACCCTCCAGCCACTGTGGCTCAGTGAGACAAAATGATTACTTTATGTCTTTATGTGTAAAAAGGAAATGAAGTTTAACTTCCTACTTTTTTTAACCAACTTGGATAATAAAGACTGTTTTGTTACTTACAACCTTTGCATTCTATTCGAAGGGTTATTCCTCCACTCTGCACCAATGACAAGGGAAACTGCGCCAGAAAATCAACTTTCTCGCCCAACACATGGAGTGAACTCAAGACCTTATGGTTAGCAAGCTAGAGTATTACTCATTGAGCCACTGCAGCTCCCTTATATACATGTATACAAAAGAGTAATAACTGTGTCCATAAGTCACATTATCTTCAACTTGATTAATCACATCTTGTTTGTGAACAAAATTCATTAAGGAGAGAGAGAGAGAGAGAGAGAGAGAGAGAGGGTGATTTAAAGTCCACTCAGGACTTACAGACTGTACAATTTTATTTAAAGATACATTATGTAAGATTTAGATAAAGAAGTAGCCAATCTTGCTATAATAGTTTGAAAATAGATAATGTAAAATGAATAATTTGAAAATTTTATTCAAATTACTCTATTGCCAGCGGAGATATTAGCCTTTGAAGGTTTGACAAGACCTGTGCAAAAATTTCAACCACCGTATTGGTTGTTCCAAGCTAAGTCTTGCTCCTCCATTTTTAGATTAAATCAAAATATGGCTGAACCGTTCTAATCTATTTAATATCGGAGAAATCTGATGCCATATGGCCTGGATCATTTAATTAATGTCTAATTAATAGAAAACATTTTAGGCCTAAAGAAAGACCTGCAATAGGCAGATTTAGCTCTTGCATAATGTATGCTTAAATAATTTGATTGCGCATAGGGTCTTTTGTGGGAGGACACTGAAATGATGCAGAGAAAACCCGTCATGTACAAGCTTGGCAATTGAAACCACGCTACTTGACTCAATCACAGCCCATATGATCTAACGCACATTCCAACCCCCCACCCCTACATTAACGGATAATGGATGCATTTCCATTTTATTCACTGTTGACTGATATTACATGGGTGCGGAAATGAAATGAAATACTGTTCTGCTCCGACTGGTTAATGAAGACGAGCACATAAGCCATACAGTGTGCTATGAGAGAAATTTTGCCCGGGCAGCGGCACTATGGCCTACTCTTATATCGAATTCCAACCACCAAGGGATCTTTTACGTGCACGCCAATGTATACACGGGTCTTCGTTTTTTGTCCCATCCGAATGACTAGACAGCTGTCCTGTACAGGTCCTCCGTCCCTGCACCACTGACAAGGGGAAACCATGCCAGAAAATACATGGGTGCTAACATGTGGCCAAAACATCATACAGGTCCATTTGTACATTCACATGGAATATCTGAAGATCTACCTGAAACAAATAACTATTTAATAACATACCTTTACAACCACCTGTCTATTTCTGGAATATTTTGTCACAAACATTTTAAAAATCACACAAGTTCGTTACTCCACAGACAAGGGGAGGTAACTCAATGGCGTTGCAACTGCTAACACATTTCCACTGTCAACAACAAAATAAACAAACAGAAATTTATTCAATCTTGATTTCTTCATTGTACAGGAGTCTATTATCTCTTGTGAACTATAATTAACATCCAAACTATTGACCCAATCACATGTTGATGTACTGGGTGTAATAGCCCATATAATATCATGTTCCTGAAGCAACGACTGCAAGTTTTACAACATCTGGAAGTTGCTAGATTACTTTACAATTCACGAACTTATAGCTACGCTATCTGCGTCCAATCAGAGGTTGTGACATAGCGAACTCCACAGAAACTTTGACATTGAATGAACCTTATCACAGGTAGACATTTTAGCTGGAAAACGCGAGAACTGTTATTCGCGATGATCGAGGAATCTGATAGGATCTCAAGCTGGGTGAACACCCAATCGAATTTAGTGCCGAAATATGCGGGATATAGTGTGAAGGGCTTGATAAGGTGCACGGTGTTAAAGTAAGATCAAGCCTTCTATTGAAGATGATATAATATAAGGCTGGATATTAATTCCTACACTGAGTTCCCCCGATGTACACGTAAAAGAACCTCTGAAAGTTTTGAAATCGGTGAAGAGAAGACGGAAGCACCACTGTTCGGCGCAAAAATTCACACACCTCCAAATAATGCATATGTGACAGCATAAAATATTACTGTGTTAGTCTCAAAATGACTGGAAATGACTCCCTCTAGAACATCAGATAACACTTCTCATTTATCCATCTCTCTACCTCTCTCAATGGGGCTTAACATGCGCTTCCACCCAGAGTGATATGGGAGACAAGTCATTTAGTCATTCAGAACAATAATTCATGTAGATGGCTGCCACTACACAAAGTTGGATATTCCTACAGCTTAGAACTTCTTATTTATAAGAATGCTTCACAAAGACATAGCTAACACTTTTTACTATAAGCATACTTTCGTATCCATGAATTTTCAAATATTTAAACCCAAAATTTAAAACCTAATCAGTCTTACAACCAACCCAATCCCATCTAACGTAGTCTACAAATTTCTCTATTACCAGTGAAATTGTACGTTATCATGATCTTATTTTGTATATGAATATATTTATATTTATAACCCAGTAAAAAACAACATTAGATTTATGTTCAAGATTTTTCCATTATTTATGACAAAATTAAGATAGACATTATTTCTCTAATGGGGTCACTGTGACTTGACTTAGGAGTCACGAAGTCTAGAATTAAGCAACCACTTAAAGCCTACATTACTTATATCTAGCACTACTTTCATTTTACACTTAAAAAAAATCCCTCCTTTACCTAGAAAACAGGATATGGGCACTGTGTACACACACACACACCACTCCGTCTTAACATGATCAAACTTCTTTCATTTGGGTTAAAATAAAATATTGTCGATTTTATTGACTTTTATACATACTTTATTGAAGAGAGAGAGAGAGAGAGAGAGAGAGAGGATTTAAGTCCACTTGACACAAACTAGGTCATTTCGGGACCAACACATGGTTCAATTTAACTTCAAATTGTGCGCAGTGGGAGGAAAACGGAGGACCCAGAGAAAACCCACGAGGTTGGACAGGCGACCCTACTCCTTGTCACGTACAACAGGGGAATCGAAACCCCACCAGTTGACTCAATAACAGACAGTATGATAAAGCTTGCACATGCCAACCATTCGGCCATCCAACTGCCGAACTTTATTAGTAAACTCAGGAGGACTGTACTATACATGCAAAACAAAACAAACAAGACAAACCTGGGGACAAGACAAACTTATACACAGACATTGTATGAAATAAACAATAAATATCAAATCATGCGAATGAATTCAGGGGACCAGCTTTATATATGTTTGTTTTTATAGAATTAAATTCCGTCTTCATGGAAAATTTTACATGTAGGTTGCATAGTATGTTGATTTCTTTTTATGGAATGAGGCTCTGTCTTTGTGGAAAATGTAGCTTGCATAGTACATGTTTGTTGATATGTTTTTGTGGAATGAAGTTCTGTCTTCATGGAAAATTTTACATGTAGCTTGCATTGTATGTTGATTTGTTTTTTTGGAATGACGTTCTGTCTTCATGGAAAGTTTTACATCCATAGATTTTAAATTTTGTGTTCTATTATTAGGCTACACCTGATGACCTTTGCTCAATCAGGCAGAAAATAAAACCAAATAAAAGAATGTTTGCTTATTGCCATAATTAATATTTATCTGATGGTTTTATAATCTAACTAGCAGGATACCCAGCTTTGCTCGGGTGTCATAACTCCGAAACCGGAAGTGGTAGACTAACACCACCTGGCCTATGTTACTCCCGGTCCGAGCTACCCCTATACCCCAAATTTCAGACTCGGGGCCAACCCCGAACAGACCGGCTTCGCTCGGGGGCCATAACTCCAAAACCGGAAGTGGTAGACTAACGCCACCTGGCCTATGTTACTCCCCGGTCCGAGCTACCCCTAAACCCCAAATTTCAGACTCGGGGCAGACCTAGTGTAGCCGCCAACCCCGAACAGACAGACAGACAGACAAACGACAGTCACAAATATATATATAGATGTTTTCTTGTGAAACCATCCTGTCAACAAACATTTAAACTCCATGATTAATTTTTCTTATTCGAGAGAGAGAGAGAGAGAGAGAGAGAGAGAGAGAGAGAGAGAGAGAGAGATGGGGTTTAACGTCCACTCGACACAAACTAGGTCATTTCGGGACTAACACATGGTTCAGTTTTATTTCTATGATTCACTTGGGCTTAGGGGTCTTTAGCAGTGGGAGGAAACCGGAGGACCTGGAGAAAACCCACAAGGTTGGACAGGCGACCCTACTCCTTGTCACGTACAAACGGGGAATCGAAACCACGCCAGTTGACTAAATGACAGACTATATGATACAGCACGCACCTGCTACCATTCAGTCATCCAACCCCACGAATATCCTTGAATAGTACATTGTATAAATTTAATCTTGTATATCTAGCACTAATTTCTTTCACAATCATTTAATATGAAATCTTTGTTTAAAAATTCGTAAAAAATCATTTAAAATATCCAAAAATCTTATAATTTGTGTTCAGTTTAAAGCTCAATGATTAATTTGATAATAAGTGTCCAATTTACAAGTATATAATTCTCTGACCAAATGGGTTATTCAATTTTTAACAGTGATCGAGAAATTAAATGCTTGTAAATTGAGCACTCATTATCAAAATTGAATGGTCAGAGCTTTAAACTGGACACAAGTACAAATTAGATGATTTGGGGTGATTTTAAATACAACGTATAGGTTATAATAATAATATACACTTAGTGAGTGCTACTAATATTTTATTTCTTAGGCCAATATATATTTTTTTTTGTGTACACCATGCTGACAAAAGGTTAAACAGGCGACCCTACTCCTTGTCACATACAAGTGGGGGGTCGAAACCACGCCAATTGACTCAATGACAGACTGTCTGATCAAATGCACACGCATTAACTATTCTGCCACCCAGGTGTATTAAGTTCAAGTTTGAATAAGCATACATTTCAGTGCATTAAACCGCAAGAGATATTGTTTTAAAAAAAACACAAATGACGATGATCAGCTTTAAAATTTAAGGTGATAATTAATAATATCCTGGTGTCGTTCTACCCTGTGTTTGTATGGATGTTTACACAGAGAGAAGATCAAGGCCTTGTTTTTTTTTTGACTTCTAAAAAGTTTTTAACTATCTGTATACCTGTTTGCAACATCTGATATCTGATTAAATAGAATTTTTATAAAAAATACATCCTGGTTAATTTTATGGACATTTTTGCTTTCATAAAAAAATAAAACATCAATCCAATTTTAACTATGAAAATGTAAATGCAAAAGGTATATATTATAGCAATCTGGTTAAAACACAGATCCAATTTTGTTTTGTTTTTATAGTTCAAAATTTCGATTTACTACACTTGGATCTGGAAGCGTTGTTATTTAACTCGTATTCTGCTTGAAATGAGGGGTCAGCCAATTAAATGGTATGTCGAATCGAGCGTTTGACCTTTTTTGCGTGGAACTGTGGGTAGACATTAGCGGCAATAGAAATCAAAACAAAGCAAAAGTAGATAAAAATACATGGCGGTGGCTAATTGGTTAATCGAATGACGGACGTAATCGGGTCAAATGTCGCTTGCTTGGTACCTGACGTCATATAACGTGAACTCCCACTATAACTTGCTAGATCTACATGTAGTGTAGGCCATCGAAAATATAAAAAACGAAACGAAATACACGTATAGATCTATATTTTAATTAGATTGATATTATAGATATTATATCAGATCTTGTCAGTAGTGTAAACATCCTACTGTTCTGTTCCAACTGGGCTAATGAAGACGGGTTTACTCTATACAGTATGCTATAGGGGGAATTTTGTTCAGGCAGTGGCACCATGACCTACTCTTATATCGAATTCCAACTGCCAAGGGATCTTTAACGTGCACGCCAATGTGTACACAGGACCTCGGTTTTTCGTCCCATCTGATTGACCAGACAGCTGTCCTCCTCAGACCCTCCATCCAGCACCACTGACAAGGGGGCATTTGGAAAATCTTAATGAACTTTCTCGGCAAATGCAGGGTCGAACACCCGACCTCCAGGCTAGCGATTCAGCGTCTTACCCACTTAACCACCGTGGCAACTAGAAAGGAATATTTCATTCAATTAATAAATTATTGTTATACTATTACTAAACTGTTATTTCTTAGTCCAATGTAAAAGAAAATTTTGTGTACAACCTACTGACAAAAGTTCATGATTCAGCACCATAAAAGGGAGCCACAGTGATTCAGTGAGTAAAATGTTGGCTCGCTAACCTGAAGGTAGCGTGTTCGATCCCTATGTTAACTGAGAAATTTCATTTGGATTTCCGCCATGGTTCCCCCTTGTTAAATGTGCAGGACGTAAGGCAAGGGACAACATATAGTCGTTTGGATGGGACAAAAAACCAAGGTCCTGGGTACACATTGGCGGACACGCAAGATAACCCTTGACGGCTGGAATTCTATATTAAGAGTAAGCTGTAGTGCAAATGTCCCTCATAGCACACTGTATGAAGTATGTCCGTCTGTGCAGAATAATACAACTTTATAAGCCTCATTTAATTTCATAAAAAAAACCCAGAAAGAACAAACAGTTGCCATGCAAGATACACCTGCATTTGAATACCTGATATCTGATATCCAATTAAATGGAGTTTAAAACCTGTCTATAAAAATACATCCTGGTTAAGAAAATATTTGTAGACATAAACACAAAATCATACAGTGAATCCCATTTAAAGTATAAAAATGTAAAGGTGTCAAATATATCGGATCTTGTCAATACTCTAAACAGGTTGAACCGTACTAAATCAAAATATTTCATTCAATTAATAAATTATTATTAATTATTAGATTTTATTTAATGCTAGGTTCCCATTATCACAATTCCCGCTACGATTGAAATCATGGTTTTAATCGTGGAGTAAGAATGGTGATCCTATCAGGTCTTATCATATATTGTAGTCAGTCGTAGTATTCGTGTTGATTGTATCGAAACGTATCCGAATGTTTCTGCATGTTCCAGATTGTGGACTTACTAGGGAGGGACAACCCTATCGTAATGCATCCCACGACAGTGGGAACATAGCATAATCCAATATAGA